CACCTCGCCTGACCATTGAGCCTTCATTTGGAAACAACTGAAAGTTGTTCTGGATTTCCCAGCCAATCAGAGCTTTGGGAATCCACATTTTGTGGTAGGTGGGTGGGTGGTGCATGCCCAAGCCCACTCTATAATTAAAGAACATTTATGGTAACTGTTGCATGCCAAGTACCATGCTAGGTGCTGTAGGGAGACTCAAAAGATGGAAAGAAATATCCATGATCAGAGCCTATGTTATGTGCTTATCACGTCTTCTCATTGCAAAAAAACAAAACATGTTCCCTGTCCTCCAACGAGAGAGGAAGATGTATCCAGTTTAACACAAAATAAGAGAAAACTTGGTAAGTTCTTCAATAAAGATATAACTTTGGTCAGGGTGCCAAGATAATTAAACAGGGAAGGAACTGTCTTTACAACTGAATACCCACATGCATATGAATGGAGCCCCCTATCTCACTCCGTATGCAAAAATTTTGGATCATAGACCTAAATGTAAGAACTAGAACTATAAAACTCTTCAAAGAAAACATAGGATTAAATCTCTGTGACCATGATTTAAAAAATAATTTTTTAGATATGATATCAAATTAGATAAATATCAGAAGAAAAAAGAAATTGAACTTAGCAAAATTTAAAATTTTTGTGCTTCAAAGGACAAGATTAATAAAGTGAAAAGACAGAAGGGGAGAGAATACTTTCAAATCATATGTCTAATAAGGAGTTTATATTCAGAACATACAAAACAAACTCAAAAATAGTTGTTTAAAAATCCAATTAAGCCAGGTGCAGTGGCTCACACCTGTAATCCTAGTGCTTTGGGAGGCCAAGGCAGGTGGATCACCTAAGGTTAAGAGTTCAAGATCAGCCTGGCCAACATGATAAAACCCCATCTCCACTAATTGACGCAGAGAAGGCATTTGACAAAATTCAACAGCCCTTTATGCTAAAAACCCTCAGTAAACTCGGTATCGATGGAATGTATTTCAAAGTAATAAAAGCTATTTATGACAAACCAACAGCCAATATCATACTTAATGGGCAAAAACTGGAAGTATTCCCTTTGAAATCTGGCACTAGACAAGGATGCCCTCTTTCACCACTCCTATTCAATATAGTACTGGAAGTTCTAGCCACAGCAATCAGGCAAGAAAAAGAAATAAAGGGTATTCAAATAGGAAAGGTGGAAGCCAAATTGTCTCTATTTGCAGACGACATGATAGTATACCTAGAAGACCCCATCGCCTCAGCCCAAAAACTCCTGAAACTGATAAGCAACTTCAGCAAAGTCTCAGGATATAAAATCAGTGTGCAAAAATCACAAGCCTTCCCCTACACCAATAACAGACTTAAAGAAAGCCAAATCAAGTACGAACTGCCATTCACAATTGCTACAAAAAGAATAAAATACCTTGGAATACAACTCACAAGGAACGTAAGGGACCTCTTCAAGGAAAACTACAAACCACTGCTCAACGAAATCAGAGAGGACACAAACAGATGGAGAAACATTCCATGTTCATGGTTAGGAAGAATTAATATTGTAAAAATGGGTATACTGCCCAAAGTAATTTACAGAATCAATGTTATCCCCATCAAGCTACCATTGACTTTCTTCACAGAACTGGAAAAAACCACCATGAACTTCATATGGCACCAAAAGAGAACCCGCATAGCCAAGTCAATTCTAAGCAAAAAGAACACAGCGGGGGGCATCACACTACCGGATTTCAAACTATACTACAAGGCTACAGTAATCAAAACAGCATGGTACTGGTACCAAAACAGAGATATAGACCAATGGAACAGAACAGAGGCATCGGAGGCAACACAACATATCTACTACCATACAATCTTTGATAAACCTGACAAAAACAAGCAATGGGGAAAGGATTCCCTGTTCAACAAATGGTGTTGGGAAAACTGGCTAGCCATGTGCAGAAAGCAGAAACTGGACCCTTCCTGACACCTTACACCAAAATTAACTCCAGATGGATTAAAGACTTAAACATAAGACCTGGCACCATAAAAACCCTAGAGGAAAATCTAGGCAAAACCATCCAAGACATAGGAGTAGGCAAGGACTTCATGAACAAAACACCAAAAGCATTGGCAACAAAGGCCAAAATAGACAAATGGGACCTAATCAAATTCCACAGCTTCTGCACGGCAAAAGAAACAGTCACTAGAGTGAATCGGCAACCAACAGAATGGGAAAAAATTTTTGCAGTTTACCCATCTGACAAAGGGCTGATATCCAGAATTTACAAAGAACTCAAACAGATTTACAGGAAAAAAACAAACAAGCCCATTCAAAATTGGTCAAAGGATATGAACAGGCACTTGACGAAAGAAGACATATATGAGGCCAACAATCATATGAAAAAATGCTCATCGTAGGCAGGTGGATCACAAGGTTGAGAGATCGAGACCAACCTGGTCAACATGGTGAAACCCCGTCTCTACTAAAATACAAAAAATTAGCTGGGCATGGTGGCGCGTGCCTGTAATCCCAGCTACTCAGGAGGCTGAGGCAGGAGAATTGCCTGAACCCAGGAGGCGGAGGTTGCGGTGAGCCGAGATCGCGCCATTGCACTCCAGCCTGGGTAACAAGAGCAAAACTCCGTCTCAAAAAAAAAAAGAAAAAATGCTCATCGTCACTGGTCATCAGAGAGATGCAAATCAAAACCACATTGAGATACCATCTCACGCCAGTTAGAATGGCGATCATTAACAAATCTGGAGACAACAGATGCTGGAGAGGATGTGGAGAAATAGGAACACTTTTACACTGTTGGTGGGAGTGTAAATTCGTTCAACCATTGTGGAAGACAGTGTGGCGATTCCTCAAGGCCTTAGAAATAGAAATTCCATTTGACCCAGCAATCCCATTACTGGGTATCTATCCAAAGGACTATAAATCGTTCTACTGTAAGGACACATGCACACGAATGTTCATTGCAGCACTGTTTACAATAGCAAAGACCTGAAATCAACCAAAATGCTCATCGATGATAGACTGGATTGGGAAAATGTGGCATATATACACTATGAAATATTATGCAGCAATCAGAAATGACGAGTTTGTGTCGTTTGTAGGGACATGGATGAATCTGGAGAACATCATTCTCAGCAAACTGACACAACAGAAAATGAAACATGGCATATTCTCACTCATAGGCGGGTGATGAAAAATGAGAACACATGGACACAGGGAGGGGAGTATTAAACACTGGTGTGTCTATTGGGGGGAAAAGGGGAGGGCCAGCGGGAGGGGGAGGTGGGGAGGGATAGCCTGGGGAGAAATGCCAAATGTGGGTGAAGGGGAGAAAGGAAGCAAAACACACTGCCATGTGTGTACATATGCAACTGTCTTGCGTGTTCTGCACATATACCCCCAAACCTAAAATGCAATAAAAAATTTAAAAAAAAATACAAAAATTAGCTGGGCGTAGTGGTGCGTGCCTGTAATCCCAGCTACTCAAGAGGCTGAGGCAGGAGAATCCCTTGATCCTAGGAGTGCAGTGGCGCAATCTGGGCTCACTGCTGCCTCAGTCTCGCGAGTAGCTGAGATTACCAGCGCATGCCACATTCCCAGCTAATTTTTGTGTTTTTTTTTTAGTATAAATGGGTTTCCTGTTGGGAGGCAGAGGTTGCAGTGAGCTGAGATCATGGCACTGCACTACAGCCTGGGTAATAGACTGAGACTTCAACTAAAAAAAAAAATCCCAAATTAAGACTCAATGATAGTAGAGACGGACTCCAATGGCTCTATGAAGTTTTACTGTTTGTTGGTCAAGGTAGGGGTTTCTAAATGATTCATCCTTGAAGGGAAGTGACAAATAAGCTTTCACTTAAAGTGAATCCAAACACTTGAAACAACCCTAAAGGTCCAGAACCTTTTTTTGTTGTTGTGAGCTTAATTTCCAGTTCTCTAAGTGTCTACTTATTTAATCATTTATTCAGTAATAAAGTTTTAACTTGTGTATTAGACCTCAATTTCACAGAATCGATTGTGGTTCTTATCTGCTTAAAAGTGGAAAGATTTTCTCAGGCAGCCACAGCTACTATTGAAAAGGCAACGAAACAGCACTCAGGTGTGGCAGGCAATTCTATTTTCAGTGACCCTTTTCTCTCGTTCTTTTTCTCTCCTACCTGCTGAACATTAGGAACTCTCACAATCTCTCAGAAATAGAGCAAAACGCTAAAGATAAAGTCCTGCTTATCCCACTCAGGAATTTCCTAAGGTTTCATGTTCAGGTAATATTTCTGCCTGCTACTTAGTTATCTTTTGGTGAAATTTCAGAATCTGTTCCTCTCTGTGTGAAAGTATGTATGTGCACCTATTGAACCTAAGATGTATATTGTACAGGTACACACAACTTTTGTTATGCAGTTCTTTCCAGCTTTCAAAAACGTTCTTAGGGGCAGCTCACACAGCTAAGTGCTTCAAATTACAGTTTCTGACTCCAGACCCAGTGCTCTCTCCACTTCCCCTAATTGCCTCTCTACAAATAATCACGTATGGTTCTCCTTAACACATTTTCTTCCTGTTCTTCTAGGATGTAGCCATATCCTAGCCCCAAATGAACTAGAATACAGTGAGGCTTATTATTAAAAACTTTTAGTAAACTATTTCTTTTTCTTTTAATTGCATTTTGGGTTTGGGGGTACATGTGAAGAACATGCAAGATAGTTGCATAGGTACACACGTGGCAGTGTGATTTGCTGCCTTCCTACCCTTCACCTTTATCTGGTATTTCTCCCCATGCTATCCCTCCTTTAATAAACTATTTTTAAGAGCAGCTTTAGGTTCACAGCAAAATTGAGCTGAAAGTTCAGAGATTTCCGATGTACCCGTTGCTCCCACACATGCATAGCCTCCCCCATTATCAATCCCCCACCAGAGTGCCACAGTTGCTACAACTGATGAACCCACACTGACACCTCATAATTACCCAAAGTCTATAGTTTACACTTGCGTTCACTCTTGGGTTTGTACATTCTGAGGGCTTCGACAAATGCATCCACCATTACAGTATCATACACATAGTAGCTTCACTGCCCCAAAAATCCTCTGTGCTCCAGCAAGGCTAGATTTTTAAGGGCGAAAAGAGAGGGAAAGAAATAAGTGTGCATCGCAGAGGCTCGACCCATCTCCCGAGCCGAGTTTGTTCCGAAGTTCAGCAGCTCTGCTGTCCCATCTCTCCCAGTGCGGCCCCCGTCAGGTTCCTCCTCTTTTTGTTTAAGTGTCAAACAAATGGGTTTCCTGTTGACAGTAGAATATCGTGAAAGGGCAGGAAGAGGCCAGGCCACCTCCTCTTTGTCCTCTTCCTATCCCTTTTATTTATTTTGCACACGTTTGTTTGGGTCCAGCGGGTGTTTCCAGCGTGTGTGGTTGTGGGGCGGCCTTAGGGTCCGGTAACCCCTCCCCGAGGAGGCGAGGCAGGGCCTGAACCCGCCCGATCCGCGGTGGAGCTCTGCGGGGCGGGGAAGGGAAAGAGGAAAGGGGAAGAGAGCCGGAGTGGGAGTGGGAAAGGCCGGGGATTTAGAGGCCGCCGGGCCGCCACAAAGAGGCGGGGAATCGGCTCGGCCAGCGCCCGGCCGCTGCCCCGCCGGCTGCAGGTGGAGTTCGCGGAGGTGGCCATTTCCGCAGCTGCCACCGACGCCTCCTCTGCGGGAGCCGCCTTCCCCCCGGCCCGAAGGTGGTGACCCGGGGCGCCGGGACCTGAGTTCTGGGGCGCCGGGGCCGCAGCTCGCCGGCTATCCAGCGGCTGCGCCCCGCGCCTCGCCCATGGCTGAAGGCCGACGGCGGGAGGACGAGGAGGAAGAGCTGCGCGAGCGCCGCGAGCTTGGTGGCCAACGCCGCGCCCGGGGCCGTGCGCTCTCGGGCCACTCGGCCGCAGGTGAGAGGCGCGGGCGCGGGGGACCGGGCGGCGGGGACCTTGGGCTGCGCGCTCTGGGGTCGCGCGGGTCCTGCCCCGGACGGCTGCAGCTCATTCCCGCGCCGGGATGGGACCAGCACCTTTAACTCTCGGAGGCGAGGCCAGAGCCGGGGAGGGTGGCCTTTCCATCGCCATCCCCACTTTCCGGCCGAGCCTCAAGTAATATTCAGACCCGTCTCTTACTGCTAGTGGTCGTGCAGCTGAAACTCCAGATTTTCCGTGCACACTAAATCCAGGAGCTGCCGGCTTGGGACTTGTGGCCTGGGTGATGACTTATCTCTGGGTGAGTCAGAGGCCCGTGGCCATCTCAGTGGACCACGACCCCTCCCGAGGGGTTTGCCTGTGCCGCCGCAGCGGGGTCAGAGCACGTGCTCGTAACTGAGTCAAATCTCGTTTCGGCGTCCCTTGAACTTCGGACCTGTGACACCCGCCCCCCCCCCCCCCCCACTTCTCCTCCAGCCGCTGAGCTCACCAGTTTTCGATAGGACTTGTTTTCGTTATTTGTGAGACCCTCCCCTACACAAACAGAAGTCCAGAACGTAGCATCCCCAAAGGCCATTCATTTGGGCTGAGAATCATTTCCGGGCCTATAATTACTTTTATGATACTGTGTTTTGGGTACATAAGAGCCGCACAGATCAAATAGTTTGGCGCAGCAGTAGAAGACTGAATAAGTATAGATCCACACCCCTTCCCTCTTCCCGGGCGGCTTTTCAATCAAACATAATAGAGAGGAAATTCTTTGGCCTTTGATTCTAACCGGGTAATCCGAGTTATCTGAAAGCCAGAGAGAAGAACAAACCTAGGGGGACGGGCAACAGTAGGGAGATAGGGAAGTGAGAGAGAGAACGATTCACTTAGAGCCTCGTTAGGAAGTGGAATAGAGCGAATATTCCATGAAGTGGAGAAGGTTTTCTGTGTGACTACTTTAACCACTAAGAGAAAGCTGGAAAAATAGGGAAGATAGTGTATCTGTGCGGAACAAATAGAAAGTAGGATGAAAGGAAAACTTGCGAAGAACATTTTGAAGAAATGGTCCATTTGATGTCCTTGGTAGAATCTTGGAACCATAAAAATAATTCTCCATTCTCATTATTGCAGCTTCTCATCAAAGTAAGGCATTTGGCTGTCTGTATGAACACCAGTTTTGAGCATAATTGGTAGTTTTGTTCAGTGTGAACCCAGACCTAGTGAAATAATGAATAGTTGCTGGGTATAAGTGAAGATTTCTTGCAAGAATACAATGAAAAAAACTTTGCAAAGATATACCACCATTGACCAATGGTTTTAAATAGGGTAGGCCACCTTGGATTCCTGTTACCTTCAGCAGAAAGCGTCACTTGCACAAGAGACTGTACAGTGAAGAACTATTTTGGAGTCCAGATGTGTGTTTATCATTTAGTTGCAATATTTGCATTTATTCCAAGGCTGGTGGAAATGGCATTTTGTAATTAGTTTTCACCAGTTCCATAGTTTCCCAAGGCTGGCAAAGGCTTCTCTAGGTTCTTTGATAATATTTTGCTGAGACATGGCATTGTGTACTTTTTGCATTCGGTAATTGGTGTTTGTAGTTTTCTAACTATTTATATGCCCTTTTTTCATTAAAGGGTGTGAGGACGATGATGTTATGGAGTGGGTAAGTGGGTTAAATTTGTAATTTTTGGATTTATTTCTTTTGGAATAAATTATTTAATAGTTATATTTCGTTAGAAGCTGAGCTCCACTTCCCCCTTGTTAAACCTTGTTTAACATGCTTTTCAGACACCAACACATTCCTTACCAAGCTTGGGCATTTGTTAGTTATGTCAGTGTTAGATGTTGCTTTCTTCCAAGTGAGAGGGTATGAACTGACACAGAAGCTTCATGTTTTTTTCGCATCACCTTTTTAGTTTTTCGCTTTTTCTGATCTCAATGCTCTATACTTCCCTTACCATTTTACAGTCTAAAGATTTTCCTTTTCTTTGGTCTCACATAGCCTGATAACCAGAAACCTGGGGTTTATGGACTTAAGGTAGTCTGTGAACTCTTCCTTTTCTTCCCGCTAAATTTTGGAGTGATTGTGTAATTCCATTTATTTATTTTTACAACATACATACAAAATTTGTAAATTACAAATTTAAAAACTCTTGTAACTCATGCTCAAGTCAAGAAATAGTATATAGTCAGTTCCTTAGAAATGGAGTCCCATCCCTGCCAGATTTAGCCTCCTCTCTTCCCTAGAGGTTACTATTTTTGTTTAACCCTTGTGATTATTTCCTTTTTTTTCTGTACAGTTTTACCCTACACATATGTATCCCTATAAAATATTGTTTAGTTTTACCTTTTTAAAATCATATGAGTGGAATCATCCTGTATTTTATCAACCCAACAGTAAGCAAGTAGTGACTTGAGATTATGAAATATCTGGAATGAGTTCTTTTCATTAAAAGGCCAAGAGCCCCAGGCAGGTTCTGAGCACAGGACAGTCTTTGTAGGGCATCCTTAGGAAATAAGTGTGTGTGTATATTTAAAATTATATTAAGAAAATTGGGTTTGATTAATCACAATTTCATCTTACAACAAAAGATGATAATTGATCTGGTGCTCACCTTCTTTATAAAATGTATTTGTTATATTTCCCAGCTTTTAAAGTAATAAGATACCTTCAACATGATGCTAAAATAATTTTTTTGGCAGAATTATAGGCAATCAAGTACTGAGGTCAATTCAGTGAAGGTTAATTCTTTTTTTTTAGGCAGTCTTGTTTTGTTGCCCAGGCTGAAGTATAGTGGCATGGTCATGGCTCACTGCAACCTCCACCTCCCAGGTTCAAGCGATTCTTATGCCTCAGTCTCCTGAGTAGCTGCGATTACAAGTACATACCACCATGCCTGGCTAATTTTTTGTATTTGTAGTGGAGATGGGTTTCACCATGTTGGCCAGGGTGGTCTTGAACTCCTCCCACCTCGGCCTCCCAAAGTGCTGGGATTACAGGCATGAGCCACTGTGCCTGGCCAGCGACAGTTAATTCTGTAGCAGTTCATGACTCATGAGATTAATAAGCAGACATAGGAAAGTAAATGAGGAGCAGAAAGTATTCCATTGTTTGGGTTTCATGCACCGATGCTAAGGTGTCGTAAATTTGGTACGATGTGAAATATTTACTCTTGATGGTGGTATCCAAATGATTGCCTGACCTGACAGAGAGTGGTGATAATATGAAAGAACATATTACCACCAATATGAGAGTGGTGGTAATATGAAACACAACACCTGAATTCTTGGAGTGTCTTACTAATCCACCAAATGCCCATCACAAATAAGGAAGAGAGGATGTGGGTACACTAATCCAGTGGTTCTCAAACTTTTGCCACATATATCAGGCCTTGTACACGCTCAGTATCTGGTCACTTGGACTGGGATGGGGCCTGAGAATTTTCATTTTTAAAACATTCCCAGGTGATACTGATGCTGCTGGTTCAAAAAGATGATGCAATTTGCAAACTCCCATGTAATTAAGAGAGGAATCACACCCTCGACACATTCTAAGAAATAGTTCCTTTTGCTAATTTGTCCTTTTTAGTAGATCAGATGAAAACCCATGAGATAAACATGGAGATTTCCACAGACTAACATGTAAGACTTAGTTTCCATTGTGGGTTTCCTCAGTAGCTTCAAGGATTTCATGGTTGATTTATACAGCCTAGCATTTATGATCAACTTCATTTTTGTTTCTTGTTTTTTTCTTTGTGTTATTGATTTCGTATTCTTCATTTTATCTGCACAATTAAGATTGGCGTGTTAGTGCCACTGTGTTAGTGCTAGTTAGTGCTAGCCAAGGGCAAGAAGTGGAGGCTGGGGGGAATAGGCAGACGAGATTGGGTGACCACCTCTTCCCAGTTTCTCAGGACTGTTTCTGCTTTTAAAACTGAAAATTCTAGCCTGGCCAACATGGCAAAATCCTGTCTCTACTAAAAATACAAAAATTTAGCTGGGCATGGTGACTGGTGTGTATAATCCCGGCTACTCGGGAGGCTGAGACAGGAGGATTGCTTGATCCTGGGAGGTAGAGGGTGCAGTAAGCCCAGATCACTCCACTGCACTCCAGCCTGGGAGACAGAGCGAGACTCTGCCTCAGGAAACAGAAACAAACAAGAACTGAAAGTTTCCATTCATGGAAACTCCTCAGTCCCAGGCAAATCAAGGATAGTCACCCTGGTGGAAGGATAGCTTGGGTAGGGGGAAGAAGGGAGAATAAAGCCTACTGACAATGTTGTTTATACTAATATCCCGCTTCAGTTCAGATGCTTTTTTTCACTCAACAGTAAGTTTATAAGATTTATTTGTATTGTTACATGTAGCTGTAGGGTTTTTTTTTGTTTTTAAGACAGAGTCTTGCTCTGTCACCCAGGCTAGAGTGCTCTGGTGTGATCTCCGTTCACTACAACCTCCGCCTCCCAGATTCAAGTGATTCTCCTGCCTTGGCCTCCCAAGTAGATGGGACTACAGGTGTGTACTACCATGCCTGGCTAAGTTTTGTATGTTTAGCAGAGATGGGATTTTGACATGTTGCCCAGGCTGGTCTCGAACTCCTGACCCCAGGTGATCCGACTGCCTTGGCCTCTCAAAGTACTGGGATTACAGGCATGAGCCACTGTGCCCAGCTGATGTTTTTGTTTTCATTGTATAACTATATATCACACTTTTTGCCTATTATTTTTTATTGATTTATTGGAGTTCTTTCTTTACCCAAGAATCTCAACTTTTGTTGGTTATGTGTGTTACAAATATCCTCTTCCATTCTGGCTTACTTTTTCATTTTCTCTATGGTTTCTTTTGATGTGGAAAATTCTTCATTTTAGTATAGATGAATCTGCGAATCTTATCCTTATGCTTTATCCCTCTATCTGCTCTACCTTTCGACTCTTCTATCCCGACCTCATTAAAAACATTCGCCTATATACTTTATTCTTCCCCCCCGTTATCATTCAGCTTTGTAGCTTTCCTTGGGGAGAAAGCCGATTTGCTTCAAGAATCGGAACCTATCTCGCCCTACATATGTCCATTCCTCGCCCGAGGATAATGTAGGGCTTCCGGTAATATTTGGATGTTTTCATGTTTTTGGATGTGTTGGATAACCCCGGCTTTTCTGTTTAACGTTCTCTTGTTGTATTCCTTGAGTATCACTAACCTTGTGACGATATCTGCATCAATACAAGGCCAGAAGAACATTAACTTGTGTCATGTATACCAGGTGCGAAACCTTTTAACTTGGCTCATTATCTTTTCTTTTATATCTATCCTGTAAGGTAGGTATTATTTTCTTCATTTTATCGTTTGACAAGGACTGAGGCACACAAACATTCGAAGCAATTTGTCCACCAGTCCTCCCGCTAGTACTGCTAGAATTACGTAGTAATTAGGTGATTTGCGAATTGCCGGTGTTCACCTCTATTGTTGGCCCTTTGGAGGTGGCGCCATTTACCATGTACCCGGCATTTGACCTCATGGTTTTAGCTGGGCGGGTGCACGACTATTGAAGGGGGTGCTTTTCATACTTCAGGGGACACCTGCGGTGCAATTGAGGTTTGTTACTTATTTCACATAACAAGAAGTAGGTTTTTCTTGGTGCCGCAACATGAGTTAGACTTTTTCTAAAATTTCACAACTAGGTATAGCTGAACCTCAGCCACCTTAATTGTGTGTTGCAAGTCGTAGAGTTTTTTTTAGTTGATTCATAAAACATGTCGGGTCATGTCCTCTCAGAGTTTGTGGCTTTGTCAAGTAAGTAAGATAGTTTTGAAAACTGCATTAGTTCCCTGGACCACCAGCTTACTGTTTTTTGTTATTAGAATTCCAAAGTTGTCTGATTTATTTTGAGGAAGTTATTTTAAGTTCCATAGAAACTATGTATGTATTTACATGTTGTTTAAAAATCCTGTATTCATCATGTTCTATTTTTGAGACAGTCTCATTCTTTCATCAGGCTGGAGAGGAGTGGCATGATCTTAGCTCACTGCAATCTCCACCATCTGGGTTCAAGCAATTCTCCTGCCTCAGCCTCCCGAGTAGCTGGGATTACAGGTGTATGCCACCACGCCAGCTAATTTTTGTATTTTTAGAAAAGATTCACAATGTTGGCCAGGATGGTCTCGATCTCTTGACCTCGTGATCTGCCTGCCTCGGTCTCCCAAAGTGCTGGGATTACAGGCGTGAGCCACTGCACCCAGCCTAATCATCATGTTCTTTAAGAAGACCTGGTCTGGGCATGGTGGCTCACATCTGTAATCCCAGCACTTTGGGAGGCTGATGCGGTCAGTCACCTGAGGTCAGGAGTTCAAGACCAGCCTGACCAACATGATGAAACCCCATGTCTACTAAGAATACAAAACATTTTTAAAAAATACAAAAAAATCAGCTGGGCATGGTGACAGGCGCCTGTAATCCCAGCTACTCGAGAGGCTGAGGCAGGAGAATCACTTGTTCCCGGGAGACAGAGGTTGTATGAGCCAAGATTGCGCTAGTCTAGACAAGAGTGAAACTTCATCTCAAAAAAAAAAAAAAAAAAAAAAAAAGACCTGTCTAGTTCTCCTCATCAATATAATGTGTGAAAAATGGTGCCAAAAAATACTGGTAATACAAAGAGATATATAAAGTAGGCTCCCTGCTTTTAAAGACTATGCCACAGAATTAGGGAAGGTAAGACTATTACACTTTAAAGAAGATAATTAAGACTATAAAGAATATAAAGTAGTACATGGTGGGTATCAATCTGACATGAGAGAATCAGACTCTCTTGGCTCATGTTTTAGCTCGCCACTGGCTAACTCTGTGACCTTGGACAAGTTACCTAACCTCTCTGCTTCCATTCTTTATTTTTAATTTGAATAATAATAAATCCTATTGCATTGGGTTTGAAGGCTAAATGAGTTAGTATATATAATGTCCTTAGAACATGACCAAGCCCATAGTAAATACCTGTAAAGTTATTAGCACCTTTTTTTTTTTTTTAAGAGATGGGATCTCGCTATGTTGCCCAGGCTGGAGGGCAGTGGCTTTTCACAGGCATGATCCCACTACGGATCAGCATGGGAGTTTTGACCTCCGTTTCCGACCTGGAGCGGTTCATCCCTCCTTAGGCAACCTGGTGGTCCCTGGCTCCTGAGAGGTCACTATATTGATGCTGAACTTAGTGCGGATACCCAATTGGCATAGCTCACTACAGCCCAGAACTCCTGGACTCAAGCAGTCCTCCCAGCTCAGCTTCCTGAGTAGCTGGGACTGTAGGTACGTGCCACTGCACTCAGTCATTAGCACTTGTCTCCTTTTTGTTATTATTGTTAAAATATTTCACAGTTGAGTCTGCATTTTTCTTCACTTGGGAATAGTTATGAATTTCATGTTGGCAGATGAAAAAGGAGGTAAATCTGCTGTGTCATCATTTAATAATCCAATGTAGTTACTTTTCTTTGGAGTTCATATATCTCTTAGAAATATCTTAATTCTATAGGACTCCCAAAGACTGAGGCTAGTTCTTTCTTTTGTGTTTCTTAAGCCATATGAATTACTCTAACATGGCATATTAGTAATGTTCAGCTTTTCTTTTTTTTTTTCCAAGATGGAGTATCCCTCTGTTGCCCAGGCTGGAGTACAGTGGCATAATCTCAGGTTACTACAACCTCCACCTCCCAGGTTCAAGTGATTCTTCTGCCTCAGCCTCCCAAGTAGCTGGGATTACAGGTGCCTGCAACCATGTCAGCTACTTTTTGTATTGTTAGTAGAGACAGGGTTTCACCGTGTTGGCCAGGCTGTCTCAAACTCCTCACCTCAGGTGATCTGCCTGCCTCAGTCTCCCAAAGTGCCTGGATTATGAGTGTGAGCCACTGCACCTGGCCAGTGTTCAGCTTTTCTTTATTGTCCGCTGAAAGCTCATTATTGTGACATAATCAATTATGTTCAAAGTGATTTCAGCAAAGGGAGGTGAGTTGACGATCCTGTGACCTATTTTTAACCACAGTGCATCGCTTCATTCTGTTTTCTTTCCCCCTTTGGCACTATTCATCCAGCACTCCTATAACTTCACTGGCATATTATATCCTGGGGACAACATATTCACTGTTTTCCCTTAGGTCATTTCAGCTTTTCGTCCAATGGTGCTTAGAGACTAATCCTTTGAATACTTGGTTCTAATCCTATCTGTCAATTAGCTTCATAGCAATCCAGCAGTTTGTAGCATCTTTCTGGGCCTTAGCTTTTGCTTTATTAATTGAAAGGATGAGCCTTCCAACTTTACATTTTACAATTCTAGAAGATGAGCAGAAAAATAACTTCTGACCTGGTTTACAGAGGTTTGCCCATGTGCTATGTTAGATCTTGGAGAGTTTCTCCTGGGCTCCCTGTGAACTGCTCCACTGGTGCACAAGAAGCCAAAGGGGCAAAGCTCAGGACAGTGTCTCCCTGGCGAGGGCAATTACATTGGCATAAGTTGTCTAGTATAACTTGTCATGCAGACCCCTTTTCAAGATAGCAGATTCCTTCACTGATAATGTGGCAGTGTTCCCCTTCATCAATGGAAGACATGGAATGTGCTCTAAGGGGAATTTATAGCACTTGACATGTGTATGAAGGAAATGCTGCTATTAATTGATAGCAGCATTTCCTTCATTACAATGCTGCTAACAAGAGGAAAATATGTGTCTGGTAGTTCCAGGGCATAGGGCAGGGTAAAGGTTGAGGAGGAAGCTTGGATAGCTTCACACAGGACAGGCAGGAGAAGGCTCTGGCAGAGGCCTGGCCCCCTTATATAGAAGCTGGAATGAGTCCTTGCTCCTCAGCGGCTGGAACTGTAAGCTTGTCTTTGTGGTGGGGATTGGCTCATGGGGGTGGGGATAGGAGCTGTGGACCATTCTTTTCCTTCTTTTTTCTTTTTAAAAATAAAATGTGTTCCAAGTTATGCCAAGGGAAAAAAATGAATTGAGAAAAAAAATAAATTTAGAAAAATTTGTTTTTTAGAATTGTTTTGAGTTACAGAAAAATTGTGAAGATAGTATGAAGAGTTCCCATATACCCCACACACTGATTATTAGCATCTTACATTAGTATGATAGATTTGTCACAATTAATGAACTAATATTGATATATGATTAGCTAAGCTCCATACTTGATTCAGATTTCCTTAGTTTTTGCTTAATGTGTTTTTTGTGTGTGTTGCAGTATCCCATGTAGGAGACTATATTTCATTTAGTTGTCATGTCTCCTGAGGCTCCCCTTGGCTATGAGAGTTTCTGATTTTCCTTGATTTTGATGACCCTTACAGTTTTGAAGAGTACTGGTCACATGTTTTATATGTTGTCCCTCTGTTGAGATTTGTCTGATATTTTTCTCATGATCAGACTGGCATACGGGTGTTTGAGAGGAAGATCACAGATAAAGTGCCATTTTTATCACAATTCAAGGGTACATATTATTATCACAACTTACTGTTGGTATTGACCTTGATTACCTGGCAGACATAGTGTTCGTGAAGTTTCTTTGCTTTAAAGTTACTCTTTTTGTCATTGGCGTCCACTCTCCCTCCTTCACTGCAAGACCCCATTGCAGTAGTTCTTAAAAAGATTTTTTTTTTAAAAAAGTTAAGCCTTTTTTCTCTCTTTCCATACAGTAGGAAGTAAAGAAAGTCACTATGGAGTAAAAGTTATGCTACACTTAAGGAGGTAAAGAGGTATGCTATACTGCTTTAAAGGTAGAGTATCTACATAATTTTTTGGAATTATTTTGCTTGAGAAAGGCCCATTTTTTTTGTAGAAATGGGGTCTTGCTATGTTGTTCAGACTGGACTCAAACTCCTGGGCTCAAAGGATCTTCCTGCCTCTGCCTCCCAAGTAGCTGGGATTGCAAACACACACCGCTGCACCAGCGTAAATTCTTTAATACCCCCTTCGTTTGTTTGGTCTCTCCAAAGATCTGTTTTGGATTGTCTCTAGGACCCCCATTGGAGAATGTAAGCTCAATTTCTCCATCCTAATTCTGTCTAAAATATCTGATCTATATGGATGTCTGGGAGATAATTTCATTTTATAATTAGAAAAGGCATGAAATACATTTGTCTGATTGAGGTGACCTATGACTAAGACTCATTTACACTAGAGTCCTCTGTCAGCAGGTACAAATGACTAATAAATTCCTTTCCAATTTTGGAAATGGAGAAGAAGTTAGAGTAGGAAAGGAATTTGAAAAAGCACTGGGCTCAGATAATCAAATAACAAGTTAATATTTATTATGCACTGGGTGCTGAAACAATTCCAGTTGTTTTCAGTGTATTTTTCTCATTTAGTACTGGTACCAATCCTGTGAAGTAGGTGTGACTGTTTCCTTCTTTTTTTTGTTGTTTTTAACCATTTGTTTCTTTGAGATGGAGTCTCCCTCTGTCACCCACGTTGGAGTGCAGTGGTGAGATCTCGGCTCACTGCAACCTCTGACTCCCAGGTTCAAGTGATTCTCCTGCTTCAGTCTCCCGAGTAGCTGGGACTACAGGCATGTGCCACCATGCCCAGCTAATTTTTTGTGTTTTGATTAGAGACGGGGTTTCACTGCGTTAGCAAGGATGGTCTCGATCTCCTGATCTCGTGATCTGCCTGCCTCAGCCTGCCAAAGTGCTGGGATTACAGGTGTGAGCCACCACACACGGCATTTTTTTTTTTTTGAGACAGAGTCTTTCTCTGTTGACCAGGCTGAAGTACATTGGCATGATCATGGCTCACTGCAACCTCTGCCTCACAGGTTCCAGCAATTTTCCTGCCTCAGCCTCCTGAATAGCTGGAATTACAGGTGCACACCACCATGCCTGGCTATTTTTTGTGTTTTTGGTAGAGACAAGATTTCACCATGTTGGCTAGGCTGGCCTTGACCTCCTGACCTCAGGTGATCCGCCCACTTCAGCCTTCCAAACTGCTGGGATTAGTCATGAGCCACTGCGCCGGCCCTGTTTTCTTCATTTAGCAGATGAGGAACCTGAGGCCTAGAAAGGGTAAATAGTTTCCTCAAGGTCACACAGCAAGTGAGTGACAGAATAGGATTCTGTGGCATATACTCCTGTTTGCCTCTTTTCCCTCATTTCCTTCTTTTTTGGTCAATGGAACCCCTGTATTTCTGGATGTGGCAGGGTATCCACCTATGAAGCTGCTACTTCCAGCCTGTTAATGAGATACAAGTAAAAGTTGTTGAGTGGCATTGCCAGGAAAGCTCTTTAAAGGGGGTTCCTGTAACTGCACAGAATACCCTTTTCCTCTTACCACTTTCCTCCCATGTCCTACCAGGAACAAGGCTGTGTAGCTCACAGTAGTCATCCTGGGCCATGAGGCTACTTTGAGGTTGAAGCCAAGCACTAAGAATGGTGGAGCAGAAAAACAGATGGCCCTGCAGTTCCTACTGATAATAGAGTCACCATATGAGTTTTGATTGCCTGCCTGCCTCCTCCTTTATTTGGAAAGAAGGAACAAGAAATTCTAGCTTCTTTAAGTCCGGGTTATCGTAGGCTTCAACTGGCAGCTGACGGCAATTCCTAACTGATAGATTGTAACTTGATCTTGTTGTTTCCCTCCTCTTACCACCAAGTTGTAATACACTTTGTTATAATGAAGTTATCCTAAGATCCCTAGATTTTTGTTGCTATTTTGTACTTTACTGTAGTATGACCTTGGACACATCGGTAAGGTTTTATGAGGCCCCGCTCCACCATTTTTTTACATCTTTGGAATGGGACTTATTCATGCGCTAACTACTCTGAAGGCTCATTATGGAGGACATGCTTGTAAACTTCAAGTGTTCATGTGTGATGTGTAGTTTTTGAAGGTGGTTGTGGCCATCCTTGGGCAAGCTGAAGGGTACCAAAAAGGAAGCTTTTAGAATATGAATATAGTTTTCTAGTTTTGTCATTTTGCCTAGTGCCAACTTAATTCAGAATAAATAAATAGAAGCTGTGAAGGGAGGTGATGCTGTCCCTGCTCTGATGCATTTGAGTACATTAACAATTGCATTGCTGATGAGCCTTAGAATGCATGCCAGGGCTGCTGTGCAGGACTGAGAGTTCATTTGTTTTCAATATGGCTGCCTTCATTATACTGGAGCTTTGTTTCCAGAAGATACATTAATCAAGGAATCATTATACTGGATGATAGTTAACCGATTTTTCTCTGAGAGCTGGCCAAGAACAAAGGGCTCAGAAGAAAATGTTTGCACAAGATGTGGAGAATTAGTTATTCTGGCAATAAATGTCAGCATTTCCAAATAGTTCTTTGAAACTAGTGTAGAGGTGTTCACATAACACTCAAAGGCCCCCAGCATAGGGCCACCCATGTAAATGATCCTGTCTTATCTTGCCACCACACCCTTTGTTTCTTCATTTCTTCACAACGACTCCCCTCGACATACACACTAGCTCAGTGGAGACTACTGGAGCTATCTGGAGATTACAAGGTAGATTCATTTCTTAGTTAAAGTGTAACTATTCCCAGTGGAGGGTGGGTCTGGAAGTGGGGTTCATTTGGAATAAGGAATGCTATTGCAAGTTTTAAAATGTGCACAGCCTGGGCAACAAAGCAAGACCCCATCTTTATAAAAAAAAAATAAATTAGCTGGGCCCAGTGGTGTGTGCCTATAGTCCCATCTACTCCGAAGGCTGAGGCAGGAAGACTGCTTGAGCCCAGGTGTTTGAAGCTGCTGTGAGTCATGATTGCGCCACTGCACACCAGCCTGGGTGACAGAGCAAGACCTTATCTCTAAAATAAAATGCGCAAACTTGTATTTGAATATTACTCTTAATTAGATGCTTAATAATGTGACGACATGCCTTTATATCACAAGTAATATTTTATCTCCCACCTTGTTCCATTCCTGTTTCTCCTCCATAGAGAGTTTCATGAGGTATTCAATTTTGTAACATGGCTTGGTATTTCTTACCTCTCTGTAGCAATGGGAACTCTAAAGAGTGCTTCTCAGACTTTGTCTACATATCACCTGAGATCTTGTTCAAATGCAGATATGATATAATAGATTTTGGGTAGATTCCTGTGGATCAGCCTCCCAAGTAGGTGGGATTACAGGCGCTTGCCACCACACTCAGCTAATTTTTGTATTTTTTAAATAGAGACAGGGTTCCTCCATGTTGGCCAGGCTGATCTCAAACTCCTGCTCTCATGTGATCTGTCCGCCTGTGCCTCCCAAAGTGCTGGGATTAGAGATGCGAGCCACTGCACCGGGCTGACTCTGCATTTCTAACAAGGTCCCAGGGATGCTGCTGCTGGTGGTCTCTGGGCCACATTTTGAGTTACAAGGCCCTCAGTTGTCTCTTCTGTAGGGCCAGGCTTCTCATGTCTTGGCAGGACATCAGAATCAACTTCAAAGCTTTAAAAAAGACGTGCTCGTGACCCCACCCTCAGATTTCCAGATTCATTACTTCTGGAATAGTTGCTGAGGAACTGGAATTTTAAAGTTGTAAGTAAGGTGAGAATCACTAGCTTAGTATCTTATTTAAAAATATGATGTTGATTGATTTCAGTGTGATTTCTTATAATTTGAACTGTTAGGTTTTTCCATCTTAAGTAATTCATGTTGTGATAACTTTTATTCAAACAGAATAAATAGAATCCACCATGCATTTTTCATTTCCCCCCTTTTTCAGCTTTGTTGAGGTATAATTAACAAATGACAGTTGAATATATTCAAGATGTACAAAATGATTACCACAATCAAGCTAATTAAAATATCCCTCACCTCACATAGCTATCTTTTTTTTTGTTTCTTACTGTGAGGATACTTAAATTCTACTCTTAAAGCAAGTTTCAAATATAACACATTATTATTAATTATAGTCACCATGCTACTATATACTTGGCCCCCAGAACTTATTCATTTTATGACTAAACGTTTATACCTTTGAACAACACCTCCCCATTTCCCGTACCCTCACAACTCCTGGTAACCATCCTTCTACTCTCTGGTTCTTTTCTCTTTCCTTCTTTTTTTTGAGACAGCGTCTGGCTCTGTAGTGGCACATTTCCTTCTTTTTTTTGAGACAGCGTCTGGCTCTGTAGTGGCGCAGTCTCTGTTCACTGCAACCTCTGCCCCCCGGGTTCAAGTGATTCTCCTGCCACCGCCTTCCGAATAGCTGGGACTACAGGTGCATGCCACCACGTCCAGCTAATTTTTGTATTTTTAGTAGAGATGGGGTTTCACCATGTTGGCCAGGATGATCTCGATCTCTTAGCCTCGTGATCTACCTGCCTCAGCCTCCCAAAGTGCTGGGATTACAGGCATGAGCCACCATAACTGGCCTCTCTGATTCTTTTTTTTTTTTTTTTTTTTTTTTGAGACAGGGTCTCACTCTGTTGCCCAGGCTGTAATGCAGTGGTGCAATCATGGCTCACTGATGACTTGACCTCCCAGGCTCAAATGATCTTCCCACCTCAGCCTCCTGAGTAACTAGGACTACAGGGACATGCCCTGCTAATTTTTTATTTAAAAAAAATTTTTGTAGAGCTAGGGTCTTGCTATTTTGCCCAGACCGGCCTCGAACTCCTGGTCTCAAGTGATCCTCCATTTTGGCCTCCCAAAGTGTTGTGATTACAGGCATGAGCCACTGTCTCCAGCCTATTCTCTGCTTTTATGAGTTTGATGTTTTTAGATTCCACATATAAGTGAGACCATGCAGTATTGGTCTTTCTGTGTCTGGCTTATTTCACTTACCATAATGTCTTCCAGGTTCATCCATGTTGTCACAAGTGGCAGGATTTCCTTCTTTTTTTCCTCTAAACAGATTCTTGCTCTGTCACCCAGGCTGGAGTGCTATGGCACTATCATGGTTCACTGCAGCCTTGACTTTCTGGCTCAAGTGATCCTCCCATCTCAGCATCTCAAGAAGCTGGGACTACAGGCTCTTACTACCATGCCAAGCTAATTATTGTTATAATAATTATTTTGTAGAGATGTAGTCTCACTGTGTTGCCCCGGCTGGATTTTCTTCTTTTTAAAGGCTGAATAGAATTCCAATGTGTGTATATACAAATACATATATATATATATATATACTAATTTATATACATATTTATATATATATGTATACACACACACACACACACACATACCACATTTTGTTTATCCATTCATTTGTCATCAGACACTTAGGTTGTTTACATATCCTGGCTAATGTGAATAAGGCTACAGTGAACATGGGAGTGCAGATATCTCTCTGAGATAGTGATTTATTGGTCAGGTGACGTGGCTCATGCCTATAATCCCAGCACATTGGGAGACTGAGATGGGTGGATCATTTGAGATCAGGAGTTTGTGACCAGCTTGGTCAACATGGCAAAACCCTGCCTATACTAAAAATACAAAAATTAGCCAGGTGTTACGGTGTAGTCCCAGCTACTCAGCAGGCCAAGGCACAAGAATCACTTGAACCCAGGAGATGGAGGTTGCAGTGAGCTGAGATACCACCACTGACTCCTGCCTGGACAACAGAGTGAGAGTCTCAAAAAAAAAAGAGAGAGAGAGAGATTTATTTCCTTTGGATGTAAACCCAGAAGTGGCATTGCTGGATAGTAGTTCTATTTTTAATTTTTTTGAGGAACCTCCATACCGTTTTCCATATGGCTATACCAGTGCACATGTAAGAGTTTCCTTTTCTTCACATCCTTGCCAACACGTATGTTTTGACTCTTTTTTGGTGCAACAGAGCCTTGCTGTGTTGCCCATGCTAGAGTGTAGTGGCATAATATTAGCTCACTGCAGCCTTAAACTACTGGGCTCAAGCAATCCTCTTGCTTCCGTCTCCTGAGTAGCTGGGACTACAGGTGTGCACCACCACACCAGGTTAATATTTTTTTTTTTTTTGTAAAGACAGGGTTTTGCTATGTTGACTATGCTGGTCTTGAACTCCTGGCCCCAAGTTATCCTCCTGCCTCAGCCTCCCAAAGTGCTGGGATTACAGGCATGAGCCACTGTGCCCAGCTGACTTTCTTTTTGAGACAGGGTCTTCTCTGTCACCCAGGCTGGAGTGCAGCAGTGTCATCTCTGCTCACTATAGCCTTGACCTCCTGGGCTCAAGAAATCTTAGCTGGGTGTGGTAGTCTTAGCTACCTCCCAGGTAGCTGGGACTACAGGTGTGTGCCACCACACCCAGCTAATTTTTAAATATTTTGTAGAGATTGAGTCTCAATGTGTTGCCCAGGCTGGCCTAGAACTTCTAGGCTCAAGTGGATCCTCCTACCTCAGCCTCCCAAAGTGCTGGGATTACAGGAGTGAGCCATCATGCCCAGCTTCTGGCTGACTTTTTGATAATAGCCATCCTAACAGGTGTGAGATGATATCTAATTGTGGTTCTGATTTATATTTCCCTGATGGTTAGTAATGTTAAGTACCTTTTCGTATACCCATTGGGCATTTGTATATCTCCTTTGAAAAAACCATCTATGCAGGTCCTTTGTCTATTTTAAAATCTGTTTTGTTGTTGTTGTTGTTTATTGTTGTTTTGCTATTGAATAGTATGAGTTCCTTATATATTTTGGATATTAACCCCTTATCAGATATATGGTGTGCAAATATTTTCTCCCATTCCATGGGTTTTCTTTTATTTTTTTTTGCTTTGCAGAAACTTTTTAGTTCCACCATGAATTTTATACAGGGATTTTAGTCAACTCCTCTATTATTTTATAGTCTAAGTAGGCTCCACGTAAAGAATGGTGTAGTGAGTTATCATTGAAGTAACTGGAAAACACTGTATGTGTTCGTTGTTCTTTCAGCTTGCAAGAAACAGGCATGTTCACCTTAGCTGATGTAGGCTTATTGGAAGGATATACACGGAGTTGAAAGACATGGGAAATATGGCTGAGGCCAGTAACTCACACCTGTTATTGCAGCACTTTGGGAGGCTGAGGCAGGTGAATCACTTGAGGTCAGGAGTTTGAGACCAGCCTGGCCAACATGGTGAAAACCCGTCTCTACTAAAAATACAAAAATTAGCCAGGCATGGTGATATGCACCTGTGATCCCAGCTACTTGGGAGGCTGAAGCATGAGAATTGATTGAACCCAGGAAGTGGAGGCTGCAGTGGGCCCAGATTGCACCACTGCATTCTAGCCTGGGTGGGTAACAGAGCAAGACTGTTTAAAAAAAAATAAAAGAAAAAAGAAAGATGCAGGAACTTCTCAGTTTCAGAAGGTATTTGAAAATGAGAGTAATGAAAAAACTGACAGCAAATAGCTACTCTGGAGAACATTTTTTAATAAGTTGAGATGACTCTGTTGTTCCTTATGGTTAGTGACACTACAGTTTAGTGATATCTGCTTCCATGGCTTCTAAGGTACTGAATAATTGACTGTCTTTTGTTTTTCTCACAGTCAGCCTCCCCAAGAAAGAGGTTCTAAGTAGGCTGGTCAGCCACAATTCTGCACAGGATGGCCGTTTGTGGCAGGGTTCTTATGCCCATTTACCTTTGTGGTCTATGCCAAACCTATATAGAGCTGCCTTTTCAGACCCATTCTAGGTCACTTTGCTGGGGCAAGATGGTGGAGTTTTGTGGTACCCACGTGCTCACCTACATATTAGAAATGCCTGCAATTGCTTCTGTCTGATGGGTCCTAGTGCCTGTGGGGGGGTACCTTGAGGTTTTTCAGAATGGAAAGAGGGTAGAGTTGTTAGGCTCCAGGAATAACCTGACCACTCTGACTTTCAGCAATGTGAGCTTCCTGAGGGAAGAGGCTTACTTTGTTCATATCCCTTATAACTCAGAACAGTGCCTGGCACATGTGCTCAGTACATAGTTGTCAAATAGGACAGGCTTGAGTTTTTTAAATGGTTTAGGCCAGGCACGGTGGCTCACACCTGTAATTCCAGCACTTTAAGAGGCTAAGGTGGGCAGATTGCTTGAGGTCAGGAGCTCAAGACCAGCCTGGCCAACATGGTGAATCCCCATCTCTACTAAAAATACAAAAATTAGCTGGGTATGGTGGCACATGCCTATAATCCCAGCTACTTGGGAGGCTGAACAGGAGAATCACTTGAACCCGGGAGGTGAAAGTTGCAGTGAGATTGTGCCATTTCACTTCAGCCTGGGCAACAAGAGTGAAACTCTGCCTCAAAAAAAAAAAAAGGTTTAATGTAGTCTTTATTTTTAGTTCGATTACATTTAATTCTAACTGGAACTCTTACATATACAAGGTTGAAGGCACATCTCTTCTCTGCTCATGGCTTACCCTGTGGAGGGGAAACCATGTATGCTAATATTAAAACTTCATGTTTTCCTATTTCTTTCTTAATTCTAAGCACTTTCGATGTTTGATATTTGGAGTCAATACAGCCGACCCAGGCTTTGGGCTGCTACAGAGTTCATGGATGTCGTCTAGTGCCCAGAGGCCTTCCCAACTGTCCTCAGAGACAGCAAAAGGGGCCCCACAGGGTCTTGAACTCCTGAACACCATACCTTTCCTCAGACCACATGGGCACACACCTGCTGGACGGATCTAGTGCCAGGAACTCTGGGAAGGCAGAGCCTCTGGGTTGGCGCCCTGAGCGGCTTGTCGGGCTTGTGTGAGCTCCGCCATCTTGAATCCTGATTAAATTGAATTTTGAAGCTTAAATGTCGATTTGGATATTTAGCCAAAGAAAGCTCATTTTCAGATATGGAGGGAGACCCTAAAAAGATAGAAGTTGTCATTAGGTGTGATTGCAGCAGCTGCTGCTTTTTTAAAAAAGCCCCGGACCCTGAAAATTGTAAATAATGATGCAGTAAGGTGGATGACAAAGATGTTTGAGAAAGAATCTACTGGGTTAGTGACACAGGATGCAGGGCCTCAACATGAGGGACAAGCCCAGTGTTGCTAACATTTCGTGACTTGGAAAAAGGTGGTTGCCGTTTGACAGCCTTTTTAGGAAAAAGACAATGACACTGAACATTTAGTATTAAACCTTAATTACAGCGCGTCTGCTTTTAGTGTTAAATTTAATGATGAATACTTCTGTAGCATTTAGAACAAACCTTTCAATAGCTCTTTGAGCACATGGGTTTTGCAAACCTTGTAGAATGTAATTTGGTATTGCTCACCTCATAGGTTTCCAATTAATGTTTAATGAAGTTAATGAAGAATTGGGGTTTTAATTCCAATATTCTATTTCTCTCCTCTGCTTTAGTTGAGTCCCTAGCTTTCTTCTCCTTCCCTAACTTGTTTCTGCTCACCTTTTCTTTCTTTTTTTTTTGTTTTTGTTTTTGTTTTTGAGATGGAGTCTCGTACTGTCACCCAGGCTGGAGTGCAGTGACACACGATCTCGGCTCACTGCAACCTCCGCCTCCCAGATACAAGAGACTCTCCTGCCTCAGCCTCCCGAGTAGCTGGGATTGCAGGCACCCACTGCCACACCTGACTAATTTTTTGTATTTTTAGTAGAGATGGGGAGTCACTATGTTGGCCAGGCTGGTCTCTAACTCCTGACCTCATGATCCACCTGCCTCAGCCTCCCAAAGTGCTGGGATTAACAGGCGGGAGCCACTGCGCCTGGCCCCAGTCCCTAGCTTTCTTACTCCTGTGGTAGACATTTTTTAAAAGTACCAACTTTTCAGCATGTCTGAACAAAATATTTATCAATCATTTATTTAGTACTAAATATACATCAGGAACTCATGTAATCCTCCTAACAAACCTGGAAGGCAGATTCTTTTGTTATCCTGTTCTTAAAATGAGAAAAATGAGGTAAAGAGCTGGGATTTGAATCCCTGTAGTCTTTTCTTCTTTAATTTTTAAATTTACATACAGTAAAATTGGCTGCTTTTTGGTGAACAGTTCTGTGAATTTTATTACACATGTAGTTTCTTGTGGCAACTACCATAGTCGCTATACAGAAGAACAGTTCCATCACCTGGAAATTCCCTGTGCTGCCCTTTGTTGCCAGACCTTCTCTACATGCCCTTCTACTGGCAAGCAACTATCTGCTCTCTGTCGCTACAATATTGCCTTTTCAGCTGGGTGCGGTGGCTCATGCCTGTAATCTCAGCACTTTGGGAGGCCGAGGCGGGAGGATCATGAGGTCAAGAAATTGAGACCATCCTGGCCAACATGGTGAAACCCCATCTCTACTAAAAATACAAAAATTAGCTGGGCATGGCGGTGCCCCAGCTACTCGGGAGGCTGAGGCAGGAGAATTGCTTGAACTCGAGGTGGAGGTTGCAGTGAGCTGAGATCAAGCCACTGCACTCCAGCCTGGTGCCTAGTGACCTAGTGAGACTCTTAAAAAAAAAATGCCTTTTCTAGAATATTAAATAGATGAATTCATAAACCTCTGAGACTGGTTTCTTTTACTCAGAAGAATGCCTTGGACATTCATTCATTTTGTTACTATATCAATAGTGGGATCTATTTTACTGCTGAGTCTATTGTGGGAATGTACCAGTTTGTTTATGCATTTACCTGATGAAGGATATTTAGATAGTTTTCAGTGTTTGGTGATTATGAATAAGCTGCTATAAACATTTGTGTACAGGTTTGCTGGGTCATATGGTAAATATATATTTAATTATATAATAAATTTCCAAACTGTTTCCCAGAGTGGCTCTCTTGTTATGCATTATCACCAGCAATGTATGAGAATTCTCATTGCTCTTTATTCTCACCAGCACTTGATGCTGCTAGATTTTTCTACTTTTTGTTTATTTGTTTATAGCCATTTTAATAGAGGTATAGTGATATTTCATTGCGATTTTAATTTGCATTTTCCTTTTGGCTAATGATATTAAGCATCTTTTCATATAGTTAATTGCCATTCCATATGTCATCTTTGGGGAAGAATGGTCAAGTCTTCACACATTTAAAAATTGGCTTGTTTTTGTATTGTTGTTTGGGGATCTCTTTATATATTCTACATTCAAATCTTTTGTTGGATATGTGATTTGAAAATATTTTCTCTTAGTCTGTAGCTTATCTTTTTATTTTATTTAACAGAATCTTTAGCTCTTTGAACATATTTGAAATAGCTAATTTAAAGTCTTTGTTTAGTAAATCCAGTGTCTGGGCTTCCTCAGAAAGAACAGTTTGTGTTGATTACTTTTTTTTTCTGTGTATGGGCCATATTTCTTATTTATTTGCATACCTTGCATTTACCAGTTGAAAACTGAACATTTTGAATATTATAATGTAACAGCTCTGGAAACCAGATTCTTCTCCCTCCCCTGGGTTTGTTATTGCTGCTTGTTATGTTTGTTGTTTGTTTAGTGACTTCTCTGAACTAATTTTGTAAAGTTTATATTCTTTGCCATGCATGACACTGAAGTTTCAGTTTAATTAACTTAGTGGTCAGCTAGTGATTGGGCAGATTCTTTTTTTGTTTTTCTTTTTGTTTTTAATGCCTACAACCAAAAAGAACCTCCCAGCTTATGCAGATGGGCCCTGTTGTGTTTTACACACCTTCAATAGCCCAGCAGTTTACAACTCTGCTTAGCCTTTACTTCTTTGTGCACATTCTGAAGTTCAGCCAGAGGTGGCAGCTTAGGGCCTTCGCAGGTCTTTTCTGAGCATGTTCCTACCCTGGTAAGGCAGCTGGACTTCTAGATTCCCAGGAATATGTGGGAGCTATTTGAAGCCCATATTCCTCAAAGTATCTTATTCCCTAGCCTATCCTCCCAACCTTTTTGGTTAGTTTGGTTGCCCAAACTGTTATCCTCGTGCAGCAGCAACTAATATATTTATTTGCTTTTCAATATTCTCAGCAAGTGCCTTCTAACTAGCCACTTTAGGTAAGTTCCAAATTAGGTAAGATAAAAGAAAGTCTTTTCCAGGGAGTCACCAGGCAGGTCAAGACAAATTATTATAGTTCTTTTTGAATAAGGTTCATTTTGCTTCTTCTGGTCCTTATTGGTACCAGGAATGCAGGCTAACATTTTCAAGGTTCCCACTGAGCTGGGGAAGGAAGGAAGGGACCAGGGTAAGTTAAAATGCCACAAAGCTTGATATTCTAACCAAAATCCAGCTAGTTTTTCTAGATTCAGTGTTTCACTAGTTGCTACAAGCTTTTGGTTAGCTTCTAGAGTTCTGAAAAGTTGATTCTGCCGGTTTCTATCAGGTTTTTATTGCTTTTATGGAGGGATAGACTTTTGGAGTTCTTAACTCTGCCATTTTTGCTGATGTCACTCAGATATATCAAATATGGCTTAAAAAATTGATTAAGATAATCAGATTGGGGTTGGGTAGTATGGACCTCTAGTCCCAGCTACTTAGGATGCTGACGTGGGAAGATTGTTTGAGCCCAGGAGTTTGAATCCAGCCTGGGCAACAGAGTGAGACCCTATCTCTTTAAAAAAAAAAAAAAGGCTGGGCACAGTGGCTCACACCTGGAATCTCAGCACTTTGGGAGGCCGAGGCAGGGGGATCGCTTGAGCCCAGGAGTTTGAGACCAACCCAGGCAACGTGTTAAGACCCCCATCTCTACAAAAAATAGAAAAAATTATTCAGGCATGGTGGTGAGCACCTGTAATCTCAGCTGCTTTGGAGGCTGAAGTGGGAGGATCACTTAAACCGAGGAAGTCAAGGCTGCAGTGAGCCATGCTCTCCAGCCCAGGCGACAGAATGAAACCCTGTTTTAAAAATAAATTTAAAAAGATTATCAGTGTTATGAGTAAGCCAGCCCAAGTTTAAAAAAAGAGAGAGAGAGAGAAGATAGGGATACTCTTAACTCATTTTTGAAGTTTTTCTGCATTCTACAATAGCATTATTGAGGTATTTTTATAAAGAGGAGCCTCATTGAGCTGGTTACAGTGCTGGGCTCAAACCCCTTGTTCAGATCCTGAATGGGCAACTTGCTTTTCTCAATTCCAGGCCATATACCACCCCAAACCCCTTCGTTACTTTTCAAAACATGATATCCAAGGGATATCTGCCCAGGGGAACTCCATATTTCTCTTGTTGTTAGAGCGGCTCAGAGGAAGTAGCTTTACTGCGCTATTCTGAACAAGTCAGTCATGTTAAAAAATAATGTATGGCTAACACTCTGGGGAGTAGAATCAAGGAGGGCTTGGAGTGTGTTACTTTATACTTCTGTATTGTTTCAGTTACTTACAATGAATATTACTTTTGAAATTAAAGAAATATAAATTTAAAATGCTGTGAGAAATAATTGCCTGCTGATCCAGTATATTTGTTGCTTATATTCTAGAATTTTTAAAAACCTATTTTTCCCTGAAATGAATTACTATAGTGATCATAGCAAATGTTGTCCTGATAATAAAAGAAATGATTGATAAACTATTCAAGAAATGGTAGTAGAAAGGAGTATATAATTGTATTTCCTCTGAAGATTATTTTTCAAAACACTGGCTAATTTGTCATTTGTTTACCTGTTTGTCTCATGACATTTACTTCTTTTCATGAAAGCTATGATCACTCAAAAAGCAAATCCTCATTTATAACCAGAATGTTGAAAGCTGTTTAACATAATCAAAACCTATATTTAGCATTCCCTGCTTTATTTATTGTATTTCATCTCCATCTTGTGACCCAAAAGAACCTATTCTAGAGGAGTAGATCCAGAAGACATGCATTCTAATGCTCAACCTCCCACTAGCCTGCCGTATGACCTTGATTTAATTTCTTAGATTCTTCATTGACAATATGAAACATTTAGACCCAGGACCCAGGCTCACTGACTGTTTTTGTGAATTAGCTTTTATTGTCTATAGCTGCTTTAGTCCTACATCTGCAGAGTTGAGTCATTGCAACAAAGTCCATGTGTTCTGCAAGCCTATAATACTTACTGCCTAACTCTTTACAGAAAAAGTTTGCTAACTTCTACCAAGTTTGTTTTCAGGTTCAAAATTCTTTGTTCTCGTTTTGGAATAGTTGGGCCAACTGTTTTTTTCGTCAGGTTTCTTCTTAGCAAATCACCAGAAATATTTGACTTGAAGAAGGGAAACACCAATAAGTCATACATTCTTTTTAGACACCAGTACCTGTCATATTTTGTTGTTAATGCTGTGATTACAACTTCTAGAGCTCAGTATCTTATAACAGTTAATATTCAGCTGGTGACATGTTAGCTTAGCCTCACCAGTGGTGCTCATTCTGGGATCCTGGCTGAAGGAGCAATCCCTATCTGGGAAAAAGAACAAATGGACAAAGCATGTACCAGTGTTTATAACTTTGCTCAGAAGTGGCATGTATCACTTCTACTCACATTTCTTTGGTTAACCTGACATTAATGGTGTGGGAGAAATATCATCCTTCTGCAGGAGGTCCTGCAAGTTACATTGTACCTTGAGTGGCTGGGTAATCTTTTTACACAGAGGGCAGTGAATTGTCAAGAACAACAAAGTCATCTATCACAGAGTTTGAGCAGACCAAAACTCATGGCAAAAAACTTGGTTTTGAACCTCTTTGTGTGTTATTCTTTATAAACTCCTTGCAAATAATAGTCACTAGAAATTGACCCAGTGAGCTTTTGGAATATATTGTAGTTCTCTCAACTTGCTTATTTAATGCTCAGTGAAAGAATGTAATGTGCCTTTAGGTTTCTTTTTTGTGGAGTCTTGATGTCTTTAACTTATTGTATTGATCCATTCTCACACTGTTAAAAAAGAAATACCTGAAATTGGGTAATTTATTTTAAAAAGAGGTTTAATTGGCTAATGATTCTGCAGGCTGTATAGGAAGCATGGCTGGGGAGACCTCAGGGAGGTTTCAATCATGGCAGAAGGTGAATGGGAAGCAGGTACATCTTCACATAGCCAGAGCAGGAGGAGGAGAGAGAGCAGGGAGGTATCACACACTTTTAAAACAAGCAGATCTCTATCACGAGAACTCTATCATGAGAACAGCACCGATGGGGGATGGTGTGAAACCATGAGAAGCCACTCCCGTGATCCAGTCACCTCCCAACAGGCCCCACTTCCAAATTGAGGATTACAATTTGACATGAGATTTGGGTGGGGACACAGATCCAAACATATCACTTACATTTCTTACTCTAAACCGTTTGTCCGCCAAGATTTCGTATCTCATTAAATGACAGACACCACTCAAGTTGCCCAAGCCAGAAAGCTGGGTGAAGTACTTAACTTCACTTACCAGATTCTATTACATAATCAATATATAATCAATTATATATATATATAAAATCAATTACCAGATTCTGTTAAATCTATCTCCGATGTAGGTCTTGATTCTGTCTACTTGTCTCCATCTTCATTGCCACTCTCCTGTTCCAGGTACCTTCTGGTCATTTGCAACATCCTTGGAACTGGCCATTCTGTGTCCTGACTTGTTTCTCTAATCCATTCTCTGTACAACCACCAAAGTGATTTTTATAAAATGCAAACTGATCATGTTATTTCCCTGAATTAAAACATTTCAGCAGTTTGTACTAATGTATTCTCCCCTAAAAGCTCAAATTTCTTAACATCGCTGTATACCTTTTTAAAAAATAAGATGGAATTTGTGTGTCACCTTTGCCATGCTACTCTTGGTATCGTTCTGACTTTAGTATGTGTGTTGCTTATGTGAGCACATGGACATACTACCTTTTGTTCCCTTTATTTATTTATTTATTTTGTATTCCCAGTTCTGTCCTGTTACACTCAGCTTACATGGCTTTAAAAATATAATCTTCTAGAAATTTTTTCCTAGAGAATATTTTATGAACTCAGTATTTGCTAAATGTTTTTCATTTGTAGAGAGTCAAACACTTGATTAAAAAAAAATTGTGCAAAACTGATGTGTATAGTATCGCACAGAGTCCAATGCAGAATGCTCCCATACTGCTGCTCTATAGGTTGTTCCTTCTCAGAATGGCTTATCATTGGGCTCTAAAGAAAGCTAGGTTGGGGCACTGTTTACAGTAGCAAAGACCTGGAACCAACCCAAATGTCCATCAACGATAGACTGGATGAAGAAAATGTGGCACATATACACCATGGAATACTATGCAGCCATAAAAAACAATGAGTTCATGTCCTTCATAGGGACATGCATGAATCTGGAAACTATCTTTCTCAGCAAACTGACACAAGAACAGAAAACCAAACACTGCATGTTATCACTCATAGGCAGGTGTTGAACAATTAGAACATGTGGACACAGGGAGGAGAGCATCACACACTGCGGTAAGTTGAGGGGGGCTAGGAGAGGGACAGCGGGGGATGGGGAGGGTGGGGAGGGATAACGAGGGGAGAAATACCAAATATAGGTGATGGGGGGATGAAGGCAGCAAACCACCTTACCATGTATGTACCCATGCAACAATCATGCATGATTTGCACATGTACCCCAGAACCTAAAGTGCAATTAAAAAAAAAGCTAGATTAACATTGATTTTATTTTACTTTCTCGGCAACCTGTTTTTAGAAGTTTAAAATAGGCCTATTTTGGAACTAGTTGTTTATAGGACCTCTTTAAATGGGTTAACATATTTTTCCTTGTATGACACTAACTCAGCAGCCTCTGATAAACGGAATGTGAAACACAAGTGCATTTTTTTCCTTGTTTGCGGTACTGTCTCCTTCAGGTCTTTCATATTAACCTTCTGTTTCGGAAATAAAAATAGCTCCATTGAACTCATAAGGGAATAGGAGATTTCTTCAAAATCCAAATACTTGGCTTTGAAGATACTACAGTGATTTTAATTTTTTTTTTTGTTTTTTTTTTTTTGAGATGGAGTCTCGCTCTGATGCCCAGCCTGGAGTGCAGTGGCATGATCTTGGCTCACTGCAACCTCCGCCTCCCAGGCTCAAGTGATTCTCCTGCCTCAACCTCTTGAGTAGCTGGGACTACAGTTGCATGCCACATGCCTGGCTAATTTTTTGTATTTTTAGTAGAGACAGGATTTCATCATGTTAGCCAGGATGGTCTCGATCTCCTGATTTGTGATCTGCCCGCCTCAGCCTCCCAAAGTGCTGGGATTACAGGGGTGAGCCACCATCCCCAGATGATTTTAATTTTTTATGTCTAATATGTTTTCATTATTTAAAATGTATTGGTATAGATTTTTCTTTTTATCTAGCCTAGTAATATGGAATTTTTAATAAACTTAATCAACTCTGAACTCTGAAACTTTGCAGTTGCTGCAACCACAGCTTTCTGTTATCATAAACTGATTTTTAAAAGCAAGATTTTAAACATTTAAAGAGAAATCAGTGGCATTATTGACCATGACCAAATCCTTAAGTATAAGGAGAAAGGGTAGAGGGTGATGGTGAGGAACACTACAGTTATGTGGGGGATTTGAACTTTTTATGTAAGGTATTTCTGTCACATTTTGTTTTTTGTTTTAATAAATAGATATGGAAAAGGGGGTTTTAAGTTTTTTTGTTTTTTTTTTTAGTGAAAAGATCTTTGATTTTTTCCTCCATAGGGAGGCAGCAATCTTATTGGGGTTAAAACAGGCTGCTTTGTGATTATTTATAATGTTCTGGGAGTTCTGTGAATATAGGGAATTCTTGAACATCTTCAAATAACATGAAAAAAGTATCATAAATGTGGATGAGTGCTTTCTTGGATGCAGTGTTAAGGTGATATTGAGAGGAGAGTCCATGATTCCAACAGGTTCTTCTGCTTTTATTTCTCTAGTCCTGCCCTCTCTTCTGAACTCTAGACTGCCTACCTATCATCTCTACTTGGATATCTGATAGGCCTCTTAAATCTAAAATGTGTGTGTTTAGTTTCCTATTGCTGTTATAGCAAATTAGCTACAAATATAGTGGCTTACAACAACACGAACCCTGTAATTCTGGAGGTCTAAAGTCTGAAGTCAGTTTCACTGAGCTAAATTCAAGGTACTGTCAGGGCTGCATTCCATCTGTAGACTGTAGGGGGAATCCTGTTTTTGCCTTTTCTAGCTCCTAGATGCCAGCTGCATTCCCTGCCTCATGGCCTCTTGCTCTATCTTCAAAGCCAACATTGTAGAATCTTCATTTCTCTCTTCTTTCTGCTTCCATCCTTCTGTCTTCTGCATACCCTCATTAGTATCGCTGACCCTGATCCTCCTATCTTACTCTTATGAGAAGCCATGTGATTGATTACATTGGTCCCACCCAGATAATACAGATAATGTCCCCATCTCAGGATACTTAATCATATGTGCAAAATCCTCCTTACTGTGTGTAGTAACATATAAACAGATTCTGGAGATTAGGATATGCACATCCTTAGATGGTAGGCTAAACAACTGCCTACCATTTGATTTCTTAGCTTGGCAAACCTATTCTTCCTGTAGCCTTCCTCATTTTATTTAATGATACAGCATTCTCAGACCGGTAACCTTTGGTCATTCTTGATTTTTCTTTTGTCTTTATTTTTTCCTTCTACCATCCACATCCAAATCATTAAATCACATCCAAACCCAATCCATATGTTAACTTGCTTCTACTACCCTACTTTCTCTAGATTTGTTTTCTTCTCACTAATTTTCACTAAAAGCAGAATACCATTAGTATTCTGGAGCCATAGGCCCTCATCCTATCCTATTCTTTTTACTCCTTGGTGTTCAGAGTTAATTATAGTACAAGGCTATGTGGGTTAAGTGTCATAGAATGGCATAGAAAGTGCCACAGGACTAGATTCCAATGACTTTATCCAACTACATGGAGATGGAAAGTGAAGGCTTACATCGCAATAGACAGTAGAGAGAATTTAGGTTGGTTGAGGATAATTATCCTGGAAGGCAAATAGAATTTCCATGAAAGATTTCTGTCTTGGCCAGGCACAGTGGCTCACACCTGTAATCACAGCACTTTGGGAGGTTGAGGCAAGCGGATCACAAGGTCAGGAGTTTGAGACCAGCCTGACCAACAGGATGAAACCCCATCTCTACTAAAAATACAAAAATTATCCGGGCATGGTGGTGGGCTCCTGTAATCCCATTTACTCTGGAGGCTGAGGCAGGAGAATCAGTTGTACCTGGGAGGTGGAGGTTACAGTGCAGTGAGCTGAAACCACACAATTGCACTTCAGCCTGAGTGACAAAGTGAAACTCTGTCTCAAAAAAAAAAAGAACGAGATATCTATCTTTTTTATTCTTTGGACAGTGAATGTTTATTCTCAATTATTAACAGCAGAGAATAAATTAATCTGATTTCTGATTATTTTGAATGACTCCTCCCCTTCCTCCCTTTCCTGAAGCAGTATGTTTTCAAAAGTTCTCAGGGAGCTGATTTCTAGTGTGTGGATAAACTATACACAGTCAGTTGGGCGGGGAGAATGAAGTCAAGCATCTGAAAAGATAAAATATTCACTGTTGAAATGATATCATAATATAGCTTCTACATTTTATTATTCTGAATCCTTTTGCTGTAATGGCCTCACATTTTTGGGGTAACATTACAGTTTAGTGTAATATAAGGGTTATTACATGAACTAATCTATTGTGAAAAGGTCTGAAAATAACTAAATTTACACATTTTCCCTATGTTTAGGGAAAAAATTGCTCATAGGATTTTTAGCAACCTTTATTTGTTAAAATCTCACATTAATTAAAACTCCGCAAGATGCATGAAATGAAAATTGAAGCATATTAAAATCAGACATTCCACAGAATAAAATATTCTGCAAATTTATGTTTATTTTTAAGGCAGAAATGCTATGTTGAGCCCCACAAAAGTAAGAGTGTCAAGATGTCCCTGTTATTTCCTCCTCATTTGTTCAGTTGTGGTATTGCTGATTAAATTAGTTACCAGTAAGTACTTAATAATTTTGTTTTGCAAATGCAAATGTTTATTGTGTGTTTGTTTATTTATTTATTTTCTGCAGGGGACATGCTCTGAGTGTGCACTGGTTGGCCCCCTGCCAATCCCCAGTGGCCCCCTCCCCCACGCAAATGTTTATTGATTTTTTTTCCCCTTTAGTAATGTGTTACCAGGTGCTGTATGTCATGTTTGGGGTTGAACTTTTCATTTTATTTCTTAGCAATTGAAACAGAAAATGTATATAGGTAGTTTGAGCCTTTCTTTGAAATCGAATCACGGAAATTGTTGAGATCTCTGAAGATCCCTAAACATATTACAAATAAGGAATTGTTTGTATACTTTAAGCAAGAGAGAAACTCCCTGTTCATGTTTTTAACATAGCCTTAATGAGTTATAATTCACATACCATCCAGTTCCCTATTTCCTGTTAATTTATAAAAATTCTCTTTTTCCCTGTTAATTTTAAAAACCATTTTCTAGGGTCTTTTAAATGTGTTTTTTAGATATTCACTGCCTCCTTTTCTAATCAGTGGCAGAAATAAGTGGGTTGAGGTATCAAAAGATAGGTATTTAGGTATAGAGGACACAGGAAATAAGGCCTTGAGGTTGGAAATGGGATAAAGGAATGAGAACACTTGTCTGGATAAGAAGAAAACAAACAAGAAGTGAGTTAGTTGTCTTGGTGATGAATTCTGAAGTTGATGGTAAGAAACGAGCTGTGTCTTTCTCAAGTCACTTGGTAAATGGGGCCTTACTCTAAGGACAGTACAGATAAAGAATAGGGGAAGATGATAAATAAGACAGCACATAGCCTCATGTGGAATCTCACTGATGTTCAGGATATAGCAGTCCTTGTTTTACTTCACTCTACTTAAGTGCCTTGGTGTCTGATTCTTTCTCTCTGCTTTTTGTTCTGACTCTGCTACCATCTGACTGCCCTCTTTGCTATCCTGGCCCCCTCTTGGCCTCTGCATATTCCCATGAGCAGTGGTGTGGGATTCTCTTCTCTTCTTTCACTCCCTTGCTCTCACTTCACCAATGGCTTCTCATGTCACTGAGAATTAAATTCAGAGTCTTTACTGAGGCCTGGTAGCTTCTGCAAGACCTGGCCTCTGCTCCCTTTCTTTCTGGTCTCAGTTCATACCCCTTTCCACCTTTGCCCACAGTGTGCCAGCCACACTGACCTGCCTGTTCTTCCTCACAGCCACCTAACCTCAGAACCTTTGTACTCACTCTTCACTCCACAGAACCTTCCCAGGTATGTTCTTGCTTTCCTCCTTTGTTTAGGCCTCTATCAAATATCACCTCCTCAGAGACCCTTTCCTGACCACCTTATCTAAGGTGGAATTTCCCATACTGATACTCTTATCTGCTGCTTCTATTTTATTATCAGGGTTTCTTGTACGTGACATTATTATAATATGAATTTCTTTCGCATTTGGTTATTGTCTGTGTTCCTAACTGCAGTGTAAACTACTTGAAGCCCAGCTTGATGTGTTATATTTACTGTAATGTCCTCCTTGCCTAGAATGGTACCTGGTACATGATGGGCACTTAATACTATTGAATGCACGTAGGCATAATATATGACTCACATTTGGACTTCTCCAGAGGAGGGTCTGTTTTGCCGTCCAATATTGAGGGCATCTGTTGGGTAAGATGCAGGGCTAACTGCCCTACCGACCTCTTGGCAACTGTTATGTTAGGTGCCTACCCTGGTGCATCCACCCAGTAGTAATCAAGATAGTGAGATCATATGTCCTATTCTCTTGATATTCCTTTCTTTCCACTTGCATGGACTGGTCCCTCCAAAACCTTTAAGTTTCAACTTCTGGTTGACAAGAAAAATGTTGCCAGATCCCATGCTGTGGAACAGTTGCTTCCAGTTTCAAACTAAACATTGAGAGGAATGACAGGAAGTAGTATTTTGGCTTTCTTGATCTTTGTGTCCCCTTGCTGTGTCATCCTGGCCCACACACTCATGTACTTTCTCTTTGTTCCTCTCTGGTTCTTGATTATAGTATCTTTTCTCTTTGCAGTCCATCTTTGCCCCTCCTTTCTTTCTCTCTTGTTCTCCCCTGTACGCCACCATTTTGCTTTGCCCTCTGCATCATTCCAGCCTGTTTAGCTTGAGTTCTTGCCTCTGAGAAATCTTTCAACTTACCAACTTTAGTTTTTCTGTTCTTTGTTCCTTATGGCTGGAGAGGCCTGAGGAAGAGAATTGCATTGGAATATTCTTTTTATCCTTCATCCTTTTATTTAACTGATATTTGAAAACTTACTTATGTGTGAAACATTGTATCAGATTCTGGGCTACCTCCATAAATAATACCCAGGTTCTCACAGTATAGTTAAGGAGACAAATAAGCTGAATGGCTATTTATTATTCATTCACTTTTTTTTTAAATGAAGTCTCACTCTGTCACCCAGACTGGAGTGCAGTGACATTGTGCTGGCTCACTGCAGCCTCTGTCTCCTGGGTTCAAGCAATTCTCCTGCCTCAGCCTCCCAAGTAACTAGGATTACAGGTGCCCACTACCATGCCCAGCTAATTTTTTAATATTCTTGGTAGAGACAGGGTTTCACCATGTTGGCCAGACTGGTCTTGAACTCCTGACCTCAGGTGATCCACCTGCCTCGGCCTCCCAAAGTGCTGGGATTACAGGCATGAGCCACCGTGTCTGGCCTATTTTTTTCAACAAATATTTATTGACACTAAGATACAGTGGTGGATAAAAACAAAAATTCTTACATGGACTTACAGTTTGATAAGATATACATTAATTGATGATACATAAATAAATGTTCAATTATAGCTATGTTGAGTTCTATAAAGGAGGGCTCCATAGTGCTAAGAGAATTAGGAGGCTCTGTCCTGGTTAGGAGAGACAGGGATAGCTTCCTTGAGGAAGTGAAGGGTAAATTGAGATCTGAAGGCACAGTTAGAATTGACTAGACAAGGGCAGCAGGAGAGAGGGAATAGCAGATGCAAAAGTCTGGTGCTGAAAGGGTGCTTAGAGTGTTCGAAGAAGTTTAAGGATAGAGAATAGGCTGGAAAAGTTAGCCAAATGAGCCTGAAGAGACAGGCTGGGGTTCGATTGGCTGGGCTTTGTAGGCCACAGTAAGGGATTTGGTCCTTATTCTGTGAGCAACAGGAGGATGCCTTTGAAGTGCTATAAGCAGGGGGAAAAGGAAAAAGATATAAAAAATATTTTTATTTTTAAAATACTAATCTGAATGCTATGGAGAATAAATGGAATTGGATGTAAATGGAAGGCATAAGAAAGGATATGGAAATGCTAGTTAGGAGGCTGTAATGGCAGTCCAGATGTTACTAACCCAGGTTGGGGTAAGGGTTAGCAAGAAATTTAAGTTTCCAAATCTACATTTACTTTCTATTAAACATATTTCTATTAAATATACTTACTTTATTTTATTTTAATTTTTTTTGAGACAGAGTCTTGCTCTGTTGCCCAAGGTGGATTGCAGTGGCAGGATCTTTGCTCACTGCAACCTCCAACTACTGGGTTCAAGAGATTCTCCTGCCTCAGCCTCCAGAGTAACTGGGATTATAGGCACCTGCCACCACACTTGGCTAATTTTTGTATTTTTAGTAGAGATGGGGTTTCACTATGTTAGTCAGGCTGGTCTCGAATCCTGACCTCAAGTAATCACCCTCCTTGGCGTCCAAAAGTGCTGGGATTACAGGTGTGAGCCACTTGTAGCTTAAAGCTTAAAGTAAGCCATATGTACTTACTTTAAGTCAACTCTCAAAAACAAATTTTTTTAAATAAAAGGATCTATATCTTGTCAAAGACAGAAATGCAATAAAACTTAAGTTCATTCAAATGAGAAATAAAGGATGACTTAAAGAAGTGTGAATGGAATTATACCAGAAAATCTATGGTAAAGATAATGATTGTAATTGAGTTCAGAAGTTAGCTGTGAGTTTCTGGCAGCCCAGGTATAGAAGGGAATAGGATAGGTCATGTGATTGTTTAACAAAGGAAGCACGGGATATAATGTTCTTTTCTATAATTTCCTTTGTCCTAAATATTTAAAGTGTTTTATTATAGATGTGAAGTTAAACCACTTAGATAGGTCCAGATTGTTGAAACTCAAGACCTCAGCTCTTGAGATGATAGCATTAATCCATTGATGGTAGTAGGTCAGACTGGTATTTTAAAAAGTAAAAACTTGAGAAAAATTCAGAGCTGAACTACAAATATGCATTTCCTTCTTTTCTTTCCTTTTTTTTTTTTTTTTTTTTTTTTGTTAAAAAAAAGACAGGGTTTTGCTCTGTCACCCAGGCTGGAGTGCAGTGATGTGATCATAGCTCACTTGCAGCCTGGTCTCAAGCTGTCCTTCCTCCTCAGCTTCCCAAGTAGCTGAGACCACAGGCACATACCACCATTCTTGGCTAAATTTTTATTTCTTTTGTAGAGACAGGGGCTATGTTGCCCAGGCTGGTCTCTAACCCCTGGTCTCAAGTGATCCTCCTACCTTGACCTCCCAAAGTGTTGGGATTACAGGTGTGAGCCAACATCCCTGATCCATGTTTGCATCTCTCTTTTTTTTCCTCCTATTTTTTTGCTGCTCCTTATGGAGCAGGGTTAGCTAATCCATAGGCAGTGTGCCTAGAGTTGGCTTTATATGAAGTTTTTATTAGCCCTCTTGTTACAGTTGAGGGGTAGATGGGAGTTAGAAGGAAACTTAAAGATAGTAGAGGAGGTGAGAAATAATAGATTATAAGCCCCTGATGCAACCCATGGGCACAAGGTATACCCTTAATATATTTTCCTATGTCATCACAGATACTTTTTGCCTTGCCTGCCTCTGTAGTAGCTATTTAATTTGTGTCTACAAATACTTATTCATAGAGGACATCCTTCCTGCTTTGGAAGATGCATTAGTCAGGGACAAAGAATGTACAGAAGTGACAGCTTTATTTCTTAACTGTTCACATTCCAACTCCAAAAATTCCAAAATCAAGAACCTTAAAATCATTTCAAATTATAAATAAAGTCATCCAGAGTTACCAGTGGCTCTCCTGTGAGGTCTCTGCCCCTGGGACTAAATCTCCATGCATTCTCTTCCCAGCCCTGTATGCAACCAACGGCTTCAGCTATAGTGCCTACTCTGTATAATGTTAGGTCCAGGAGAGCCAGAGAGAGTAGTACAATAGGTAACAAGAAGTCAGAGAAGTCCAGATTGTTGGCTCTTGAGATGGTGGCATTAATCCATTTTTGGTAGTAGATTACATTGGTGTAGACTCCAGGAAGAATTTTACCACATTCTAATCCCCAGCTCACCACTCCTATCTGGATCCATATACCATCAATGTGACAAGACAGAGGCCCTCCAGAATCACCCTAAAGAAGAAATAAGGGTAATGAGCATAGTGAAAAGAGACATGAAGAAGAGAGTAGTAATAAGGGGTGGAGAATTCTTTTAAACTAGGCCATGGGACCCATGGAGCTGTGGAACCCTGCAGGGAGTTGGACTAATCACTGCTTTAGGGAGAGATCACAGGAATTTTAGAATCATAGCATTGAAATTGTTAAGAGACCTTAGTGAAACATATTAGTAATTTCAAAATATTTATCTGTGATAAAAAGAGAAAACTAATGTGATGATTTTTCACTAAAGGTAAATTTATTCAAATGAGTCAACTGCCTTATTTTCCTGTTCTTAGGTTCTTACTGCTCTTTTTTTTAGTGTTAAGTAATCCATTCTTACATAAAATGATAGTGATAGTAGTTGGTAGTAGTCTTCCAATCTTACTCTCTTTCTTTTTCATAACAGCTTTACTGACATATAATTCACATCTACACAATTCAGTGGTTTTTAGTATGTTTACAGAGTTGTACAACCATCACCACAACCCATTTTAGAGCATTTTTATCACCATAAAAAGAAACCTCATACCCATTTGTAATTACCCCCATTTCTTCCCAACCCTCCCAGCTAGGCCAACCAGTAGTCCACTCTCTGCCTCTATGGATTTGCCTGTTTTAGACATTTCATATAAATGAAATCATGTAATATGTAGCCTTTTGTGTCTGGCTTCTTTCAGTTAGCACAGTCTTTTCAAGATTCATCTATATTTTATCAGTAGTCCATTCCTTTTTATGGCTGAATAATATTCCATTGTATGGATATGCCACTTTGTGTTTCTGCATTCATCACCTGATGGACATTGTGGTTGCTTCCATTATTTGGGCTATTATAAATAATGCTTCTATGGCCCAGCATGATGGTTCCTGTCTGTAATCCTAGTGCCTTGGGAGGCCAAGGCAGGATGATCAGGCCAGGAAATTGAGACCAACCTGCAACATAATGGGACCCTGTCTCTAACAAAAAATAAAAAAAAGATGTTGTGGTGGCATGTGCCTGTTGTCCCACCCACTCGGGAAGCTAAGGCAGAAGTATTGCTTGAGCCAAGTTTACAATGAACTAAGATTTTGCCACTGCACTCCAGCCTGGGTGACAGAGCAAGACCCTGTGTCTAAAATAATAATCATTATGCTGCTGTGAACACTTGTGTACCAGTTTTTTCAATGTTTGTTTATTTAAAGATGGGATCTCACTGTTTTGCCCAGGCTGGTCTTGAACTCCTGGGCTGAAGTGATCCTCCTGCCACAGGCTTCTGAGTAGCTAAGATTACAGGTGGAAGCCACTGTGCCTAGCTCATGTGCAAGTTTTTGTATGGACATATTTTTGTCTTAGTCTATACCTAGGAGTGGAATTTCTGGGTCATATGATAATTCTATGTTTAACCTTTGAGAAACTGCTAAACAGTTTTTCAAAGAGGCTGCACCATTTTATATTACCACCAACAGTGTTTGAAGGCTCCAATTTCTCTATATTTGCATATCATTATAGTAATTGGCTATTTGTATATCTTTAGAAAAATATTCAGATTATTTGCTCTTTTAAAAATTGTGTTCTTTTTATGATCAAGTTATGTGTTCTTTATATATTCTAGATACAGATCCCTTACATATATGATTTGCAAATATTTTCTTCCATTTGATAGGCTACCTTGTTACTTTGTTGATGGTATACATTGAAGCATAAAATATTTGAATTTTAAAGGACTCTAATCTTTTTTTGTTGTTGCTTATGCTTTTAATAATGTATCTAAGAAAATGTTGCCTAATCAAGGTCTAAAAGACCTACCTATATGTTTTTTCCCTACAGGTGCTATAGTTTTAGCTCTTATATTTAGGTCTTCGATTCATTTTGAGTTAACTTTGTATATGGCGAGGTCAGGGTCTAACTTCATTCTTTTACATGTGGTTATATACTTGTCCCAGCATCATTTGTTGAAATGACTATACCTTGTTCATTGAATTGATTTGATGCCAATGTTTAAAATTAATTGACCATAAATATAAGAGTTTATTTCTGTACTCTCAATCCTATTTCATTTATCTATATATGTCTCTCCTTCTGGTAGTACCACACTGCCTTGATTACTGTTAGTTTTGAAATATGAAAAATGTGAGTCCTTCAACTTGTTTCTTGTTTTTCAAGATTGTTTTGGGCCCACTGAATTTCCATATGCATTTTAGAATCAGCTTGTCAATTTCTGCAAAGAAACCAGCTAGGTTTTCATAGAGATTACATTGAATCTGTAGATTCATTTGGAGAATACTGCAATTTAAACAATATTAAGTTTATTCCTATTTTATTTTAAAAGTATTATAAATGCAATATTGTTTTCTTAAGCGTTTCCTTAGATTATACATTGCAACTGCAGAGAAATATAGTTGCTTATTTATTTATTTATTTTTGAGACAAAGTCTCACTTTGTCATCCTGCCAGGCTGGTGTGATCTCAGCTTACTGCAGTCTCCATTTCCCAGGTTCAAGCAGTTCTGCCTCAGTCTCCTGAGTAGCTGAGATTACAGGCACCCCGCCACCATGCCCACCTAGTTTTTGTAATTTTAGTAGAGATGGAGTTTCACCATATTGTCAGGCTGGTCTTGAACTCTTAACCTCAATCAGTCCACCCGCCTTGGCCTCCCAAACTGCTGGGATTACAGGCCTGAGCCTCCACGCCCTGCCTACAGTTGCTTTTTGTATATTGTTCCTATATCCTTCAATTTTGCTGAATGTGTTTATTAGTTCTAATTTTGTGAAGGGTGTCATTCCTTTAGATTTTCTATTTTTAAAATCATGTCATCTGTGAATAGAGAGAGTTTTACTCTTTCCAATCTGGTATATGTTTTTTGTTTTTTGTTTTTTTTGTCTCTTGCTTAAGAGACAAAAACTGGAGGCCAGAACCTCCAGTACTGTGGTGAATAGAAATGGCAAGAGTAGACATCCTTGTCTCTTTCCTGGCCTTATGGCAAAAGCATTTAGTATTTTACCATTAAATATTTTAGCGGTAGGTTTTTTTGTAGTTGTACTTGAACCAGTTGAAAAAATGCACTCATCTCATTGTTGAGTGTTTGTTTTTTTTTTAACTTGAAGGGTTGTTGGATTTTTGTCAAATGTTTTTTCCATATTTATTGACATGATCATATGGTTTTTGCTCTTTATCCTAAGAACATGATATGTTAATATTAATTGATTTCTGGATTTTAAACCAACCTAAGTTTCCTGGGATAAATCCCGGTAGTTTATGATATATCCTTTTCTTTAAAAAAAAAAAAGAGGGAGAGAGAGAGAGAGACAGAGAGAGACAGGGTCTCACTCTGTCTTCCAGGCTGGAGTGTGGTGGTACAAACACAGCTCACTGTGGCTTCAACCTCCCATTCTCAAGCGATCATCCCACCTCAGCTTACCGAGTAGCTGGGACTACAGGCGCATGCTACTATGCCTGGCTAATTTTTAAAATCTTTTGTAGAAACAAGGTTTCACTGTGTTGCTCAGGCTAGTCTTGAACCCCTGACCTCAAGTGATCCTCCTGTCTTGGCCTCTCAAAGTGCTGGGATTACAAGGTTTGAGCCACCACGTCCTAAAAAGAATCCACATACCCATTTGTAACTATCCCCAGTTTGAATTTTGAGGTCAGCCAACTTGACTTCCTGTTGAAACAAAAAATTGGCATTCAGGTATATAATCTTTTTTATATGTTCTTGGATTTGGTTTGTTGAGGATTTTTCCACCTCTATTCATAAGAGATACTGGTCTATAACTTCCTTATGATGTCTTTGTCAGGTTTTAGTCTCAGGTAATACTGATCTCAGAATGAGTTGGGAAGTGTTCCCTCTTTTTCTTTCTTTTTTTTTTTTTTGGAGACAGAGTCTTGCTGTCACCACCCAGGCTGGAGTGCAGTGGCATGACCTTGGCTCACTGCAAACTCTGCCTCCCGGGTTCAAACAATTCTCCTCCCTCAGCCTCCCAAGTAGCTGGGATTACAGGTGTGTGCCACCACACTCAGCTAATTTTTGTATTTTTAATAGAGACAAGGTTTCACTATGTAGGCCAGGCTGGTCTCGAACTCCTGACCTCAGGTGATCCGCCCACTTTGGCCTCCCAGAGTGCTGGGATTACAGGTGTGAGCCACTGTGCCCAGCCCCCTCTTTTGTTTTTCAAAAGAACTTGTGTAGAATTGATATTAATTCTTTTTTTTTCTTTTGAGACATAATCTCACTCTGTCATCCAAGCTAGAGTGCAGTGGCATAATCTCAGCTCACTGCAACTCTGCCTCCCAGATTCAAGTGATTCTCATGCCTCAGCCTCCCGAGTAGCTGGGAATACAGGCGCATGCTACCACGCCCAGCTAATTTTTGTATTTTTTTGTAGAGATAGGGTTTTGCCATGTTTGCTAGGCTGTCTCGAACTCCTGGTCTCAAGTGACTTGCAGGCCTTGGCCTAAAGTGCTGGGATTACAGGTATGAGCCACTGCGTGTGGCCAGAATTGGTATTAATTCCTTAAATGTTTGGTGGAATTCACCAGTGAAGCCACCTGGACCTGGTCTTTTATTTGTTGATAGTTTTTTTGTTCTAAATCACAAATGCATGGCTCAAGCCTGTAATCCCAGCACTTTGGGAGGCCGAGACGGGTGGATCACAAGGTTGAGAGATCAAGACCATCCCAGTCAACATGGTGAAACCCTGTCTCTACTAAAAATACAAAAAATTAGCTGGGCATGGTGGTGCATGCCTGTTATCCTAGCTACTCGGGAGGCTGAGGCAGGAAAATTGCCTGAACCCAGGAGACGGAGATTGCGGTGAGCCGAGATCGCGCCATTGCACTCCAGCCTGGGTAACAAGAGCCAAACTCCGTCTCAAAAAAAAAAAAAAAATCACAAATGCAGTCTCTTTACTTTTTATTCAGACTATTTCTTCTTAGGTAAGTTATGCTAGTTTGCATGTTTCTAGGAATTGCTCCATATCATCTTAGTTATCCAATTTTTTGGCATACTGTTATTCATAGTAGTGTCTTACAAATTCCTTTTATTTCTGTAAGATTTCTAGTAATGTCCCAGTTTCATTGTTAACTTTAGTAATTTGAGTCTTTTTTTTTCTTGCTCAGTCTAGCTAAAGTTGTTTTTCAATTTTATTGATCTTTTTAAGGAACCAGTTTATATTCTCTATTGTCTTTCTCTTCTCTATTTTAGTAATTTCTACTATATCCCTTATTTCCTTCTTTGTATTTTCTTTAAGTTTAGTTTTTGTTTTTTTTTTTTGACAGTCTCACTGTGTCACCCGGCCTGGATCACAGTGGTGCAAATACAGCTCACTGCAGCCTAGAACTCCTGGGCTCAAGCTATCCTCCCACCTCAGCCTCCCAAGTAGCTGGGACCACAAGTGTACCGCCATGTCTGGCTGATTTTTTAAATTATTTTTTGTAGACAGAGGGTCTCACTATATTGCCCAGGCTGGTCTTGAACTCCTGGGCTGAAAAAAAAGTCTCCTACCTTATCCTCCCAGAGTGCTGTGATTCTAGGTATGAGCCATCACACCCAGCCTTTTTTTTTAAGAGACAGAGTGACAGAGTCTTGCTGTGTTGTCCAGGCTGGAGTACAGTGGTGTGATCATAGCTCACTACATATGTGAACTTCTGGGATCAAGGGATCCTCCTGCCCCAGCCTCCTAAGTAAAGGCTTGTCCCACCACACGCAGCTATTTTTTTTTTTAATTTTTAATTTTTAGGAGAGACAAGGTCTCACTGTGTTGCCCAGGCTGGTCTTGAACTTCTTTTTCCAGTGTCTTACATGGAAGATTAGGTTACTGATTTGAGATTTATTGTTTAATGTAGGTATTTACAGTTATAAATTTCTCTCTAAGCAGTGCTTTAGTGCATCCATAAGATTTGGTATGTTGTTTCTTCATTTTTATTCATCTCAAAATATTTCCTAATTTTTTGTGTGATTCTTTTTTCTTTGACCCATTCATTATTTAGCAGTGTATTACAGTCCACGATTTGTGAATTTCCATATTTCTCTCTGTTATTTATTTTGAATTTCATTCCATTATGATTGGAAAATATACTTTATATAATTTTAATCCTTCTAACTTTATTGAGGCTTGTTTTACAGCCTAGCATATGGTCTATTCTGGAAAATGTTCCATGAGCATTTAAGAAGAAAGTATATTGTGCTCTTCTTAGAACTCTTTCTGTTTTTAAATTTTCTATGGCAGTGACTTGTCTCTGACAAACTGTCCTTCAGATAACAATTATAAATTTTGGACAGCATATAAAAGCCTACTCTCTGAAGGCAGTAGAGAGTGGCCCATAGCAGGCAGAAACTAAAATCAATCCTTGATAGAAAAGAATGCCATTCTTTTTTTAAAAAATGATTTTTCCCTTAAAGCAGGCCCCAGTCATTATCATGCATAGTGACTGGAACTTAAAAAGAAACCCACAGTCTTACCAACTTGAGGAATTAAAGGGTAGAGTTTAGAGCTACCACAGCAGTTGGAAAGTGAAGGGAAAAATACCAGAAAGGAGAGAACCACCGAGAGGGAGTCCCAAGTTCTGAATATAAACTCTGCTCAAATCTTTGACTAAACCCTGAACTACACACATGTGCAGGTTAAACTCCAAGCAGCTCAGCTAAGACTAAAATAACTGATACCTATCACAGGAGAGATCCAGTTTGGATTTTGAGGTCAGCCAGGTTGACTTCCCATTGAAACAGGAAATCAGCAGCATTCTTTAGAGAAGCATAACAATCTATACTCCCTATACCATGGTACTGACATTGTCCAGGATATATTCCAAAATGATTAGATGTTAAAATAAATAAACAAAACAGGGAAATGTTTTCCAAGATAAACTGGAAAATGCTACTCATGAGAAAAACCAGTCAGTGGAGAATAACCCTGACAACTCAGATTGATTTTGGAATTAGCAGATAAGGATTTAAAGCAACTATTATAACCGTGATCAACACATGTAAAGGAAAATATTTATAATATACAAATAGAAAACCTTGGCAGAGATCTATAAAGTATGTGTGGATGAGAGAAGGAGAGAATAAAACCAAATGGTCATTCTAGAACTAAAAAATATCTGACATAAAAATTTCACTAGATGGACTTAACAGTAAAATGCAAATGACAGCAGGAAGAGGCAGTGATCTTCAATATAGATAAATTTAAAAGTATGCAATTTGAATACCAGAGAAAAAAATGTAAAAATAAAATGGACCTGTGTGAAAATACCAAAAGGTATAACTTGTAAGTTTATGGTTTCAACTAGAAGGGGAAGAGAGAGAAATGAGGCAGAATAGTTTTTGAAGAAATCATTACTGAAAAATTTCCAAGTGTTAGTGAAAGATGTTAAATAATAGATTTTTAAAACCCCAAAACTCAGTGAACACCAAATAGGATAAATGCAAAGAAAACCACACCTAATACATCATATTCAAACTGCTGACAATCAAAGGTAAAGAAAAAAATACTTAAAGCAGCCAAGAGCAAAACAACACATTACAGTCAATGGAATGAAGATGCAAATAATGGCTGATTTTTTTATCAGTTATGACCGAGAGACAATAGAAGGACATCTTTTAGGTATAGAATGAAATGTTCCTACTTGAAAAAATTTAAAAGTTGGCAATCCTGCTTCAACTTCTTAATATACTTGTGAAAATGTAAGGTCTATAAAAGTCCAGCAACCCAAGGAGGAAGGATTGATTGAGGCCAGGAATTCAGGATCAGCCTGAGCAACACAATGAGACCTCATCTCTACAAAACAATGAAAAAATTAGCTGGGCCTGGTAGTGTGTGCTTGTAGTCCCAGCTGCTCCGGAGGCTGAGGTGGGAGGATGACTGCTTGAACTCAGGAGCTAGAGGCTATAGTAAGCTATGATCATGCCATTGCACTCCAGCCTGGGTAACAGAGTAAGGCTCTGGCTCTAATTTAAAATAATAATAATAATAAATAAAAAGTCCAATGACCAGTGGTTAACATTGGTCTGGATCAATAGTCTCATAGTTGAAGAAATTCACAGACACAAATTAAAGTGATTTGTCCAGAGTAACACAAGAGTTATTGTTAGAACCCTCACCTCCTGACTCCCAATTCACTTTTATTTATGGATAGGAAAACCTGGATCCAAATTAAGATCTCATGTTTAAAAAAAAAAAATCTCAAGAGCAAATCCTGACCTTGCAACTATCCTTCAGGTTTTGAGTATCACCAGCACAAATCTTGTCTTCCTTGATGACTGGCTCCAGTGCTGGCAAGAAGATACCAATGGGGTTGTAGAGCTGTTCGCAAGCCTGGTGGTCAATAATGGGTACTTCTGCTTCCTGAAGGGTAGAATGATAATCACTATCTGTAGAGGAAGACAGGAACAAAAGATTAAAGCAACCTGGAAAAGTGCAGGGGCAGCATTCAGTCATGATGTGCAGAAGTCTCTGAATGGGAATCCAAAAGCAGCTTACAATCACTTTCCAATTATGTTTGCTTATGGATGGATCTTTTCGTACACTTAAATCTAAAAATTCAATAATTCTAAATTATTTCTGCTTTTTTGAGGTTTTTTAAAATTGAGCCGTTGTTCTAAGTAATGAGTACTTTTGATAAATTCTTATTGAGTAAAGGTTCTAAAACTTCTTTCTTTCCTATTTTTTTGCTCCTAGATCAATTCCTGTCTAGTCTCTACTTCATCCTGGGAATGAGTTGACACAACGCTTTAAAAACAGATAAAAAAACACTCGACTCTCTCCAAACTTTAAAGCAGGCTTACTAACCTCTGTTTGAGAGAGCTAGTTACGTGTTTAAATTGTTAGTATCTGCTCTTCCAGCTATAGCTAGACCCTGCAAGATGTAAAAGTAAAATAAAAATATAAATGTCAAAAAATATATTTTAAAACATAAATAATAGCATTAGATTGATCCGGTTTTGTTGAAAAGTATTTGCCATGGTAAGGATATGCCTCGAATAGGAATGTTCTGGAGTACAAGAGGGTATAAAACAACCCTTCTCTCTGCCCATTCTCACCTGAACTTTCCTTAACTTTTCCCCATCCAGTCACCCAACAAGAGGCTGGAATTGCCAATTGTGTTGTGATATTGGGCAAGCAAATAGGCAGGATGACAGAAGTGAAGGTGACTTGAGAGGACAGTTTCAACAAGGCAACGTCTGCTGTTGTATCTTGGTACTTGGGATGGATGATGATTTTGGACACGTAGTACTTCACACTTTTACTTGAGTCACCTACTTTAATCGATCCCAGCCACACAGTATATGAAAAAGTATTCCAGGTCCTATAGCAGGGGGGGGAAGGAGGAGGAGAATAAAACTAGGGCCTGTTGATGGCCTGCAGCTGGGTCAGAACAAGTTGCCTATATGTCCTGTTAGTCTCTAGTTAAGAAAGCAGAGTAGCCAACTGTGAATTAACCAGGGTGCTTCCAACTTCAACTAGGGTTGACTTGTCTCCTCCTCTCCTCTTTCTCTCTCTCCTTCCTTCCCTGACCACTCTTTCTGTGGTCTCTTCTTAGAGGCTTACAGCCTGCGTTTTGTCCTGTATTTTTCTCTCTGGTTCTCTCATTTACCTCTTCCGTTCTCCATGGTCTCAGCCATCACCTGTGTGCTTAGTAGACATTGCTGATTCTGTTCTGAGCACTAGACCTTCATTTCTGAATAAAATTTTAAAGCAAAATATAACCACAGTTATACATATACACAGTTAAGCTGTCAGGTAGTTTGATAAGTTGTACAAAATAAATAAATAAATATTGAGTTCTCAGCCTAACTACCCTCAGGTCATACTGTTTAGAGGCAATCGCATTCAACTCTTTCAGCTCTTAGTAATTTTCAGATGTTTTCAAGAAACCCTATATATTGCTGTGTTTTTCTTTTTCTTTTTCAGTCTTAGAAAACTGAGTTCCTAGTGTGGAAGGTGAGGATGGAACTTTCTAACACATCGCTGTTTACCCCCCACCTCCCACTTGCATTCTACCCATCCTCCTAGCCAGTGTTACCATAACGTTTTGTTAAATAAGTATTTAATGTGTTTGTTCTTGTGACTATGTAAACATTATTTACTACTGGGTCCTATTGGGTGATTACATTTCTCGTAAAACTTTTTGCTTCTCCTGGAGTTGATCAGTGGGTTCACTTTGGTTTTTCGTTTTTATCTTTATATCCATCATCAGTCTCACTTCCCACACCCTCCACCAGAAATGTAAATCTCCTCTCATTTTGTTCAAACTTGTCAGGCATTCTATCAATACTGTCTTTTTTTTTGGAGCCCTCTGCCCTCTTGTTCTAATCTGGGCTGCTGCACAGCCATCATCTTGGCACTTTCTTTATCCTTTATGACTTTCTTAAGGATTCTCTTCTGTCTTATATCCCCTTTTGTTGGTATCCTGTGTCTGTTTTTCCCCCTTTATTTTGGTGGAGCACATTCTCCTATGGCTTCCTGAGAAAATGTGCGTGAGAGGTAACATTTTTGCTGCTTCGTGTATTTGAAAATATTTTACTTCTATCCCACATTTGATTGATAGTTTGCATATGGATAGAATTCTAAGTTGTAAATAATTTTCTTTTAGCATTTTGAAGTTATTACTCTATTTTCTTTTTTTTAACTTAATGTTTTTTAGAGACAAGGTCTTACTCTGTCACCCAGGCTGGAAACAGTGGCACAATCATAGCTGACTGCAGCTTTGAACTCCTGGGCTCAAGTGATCCTCCCACCTCAGCCTCCTGAATAGCTGGGATTACAGGTGCAAACCACCACACCTGGCTTATTTTCTTTGGACTTTCAGTCTTGTTATTGAAGAGTCCTGGCATTTTACTTTCTGTGTGTATCCATTATCAATTGTTGCAAAACAAGTTATAAAGCTTAGGGGCTTAAAACGACAAATATTTATCTCATAGTTTTTATGGGCCAGGAATCAGGTATGACTTAGTTGGTACCACTGACTCAAGATCTCATGTGGCTGCAATCAAGGTAGCTGCAGTCATCTCACTGGGGAAGATCTGTGTCCAAATTCACTTATGCTGGTGGGCCTTCTCACTGTTGACTGGAGATGCTGGTTTCACATGGGCCTCTCTATAGGGATTCTCACCACGTGACAAATTGCGTCTCTCACAGCAGTGGCTCTTAGAGCTCAGACTGTGTTTATGACCCAAAAAAACTTATGACAAAAATCTCCTGACTGGTTTTTAGAAGTTGATTTGGGAAAAAATAAGAAGAGTCTTTAATATAGTGCCTGTCTCCAGCTTTCCTTTTCCTACTTCTATGCCCTATCTCTAGTTGTTCCTAGTTTGATAGTCTGACATGATTTGGATTTCCTTCTGCCCTACCTATCTTACCACCTTCATTCATCTGTTGGTTTATTCATGAAGTGATGCAAATATTCACCAAGAGCCTGTCTGTGTGCTAACTGCCAGCTAGAACTTGCCTTGGTAGGCAGTGTGCTGCTGTCAGTATCCACCTCTCACTGATGAGGGAACCTCCACAGATGAAGTTGTCGTCCAAGTATAGGCTGACCTGCCAAGGCCAGCGCCCTGCAGCAGCATCCTGGCCACCTGTAATGCGGCTTGAGTATACAGGTCGCCCGCACACTAGAGAAAGAGAAGAAAGGGAAATGTGGAAACCTGGGAGTCCTGTTTCTTTGGTTTCCCACCTTATCATCATTCCCAAACTCCCATCTATTCCTAGGACCTGAACTGTCCCTAGACACCATACTCTATCCTACTCTTACTCCACACCTAGCAGTCATAGGCTCAAAATGGAGACCACTCACCTGATTGCAACTCTTTCTTTTTGGGAAAAGAACATGAGCAAGACCCTAAGGAAGAAATAGGGTATCATTAATATATAATAACACATCTAATATCTAGATTCACTGAACAGAGAGCCTTCCTTTTATTTAAATTTTCCAGATTGGTGTCAAAGGGCAAAATTTTCAAATGAGTTCTACCTATTAGTGGACATCTTTACAAACATACTTACCTGCCTTCCTTAGCAGCGTCTGTGGAACATAATTTAACTTAAAACAAAATTTTTTGAGCCAGGCATAGTGGCTCATGCCTGTAATCCTGGTGCTTTGGGAGGATGAGGTGGGAGGATTGCTTGAGGCCAGGAGTTTGAGACCAGCCTGGGCAATATGGCGAAACCAGGTCTCTAAAAAATTAAAAAAAAATTTCCACATTTCCCTTTCTCCTCTTTCTCTAATGTGCAGGTGACCTAGATACTCAAGCCACGTTGCAGGTGACCAGGATGCTGCAAGTGACCAGGATGCTGCTGCAGGGTGCTGGCCTTGGCGGGTCAGCCTACACTTGGACCACAGCTTTATCTGTGGAAGTTCCCCTTTCAGTGAGAGGTGGATACTGACAGCAGCACACTGCATAAAAGTGTGAGTTCTAGTTGGCAGCTAGGACACAGATAGGTTCCCAGTGAATATTTGCATGACTTCATCAGTGAACCAACAAACAAATGAAAGTAGTGAGACAGACTAGGCACAGTAGCTCATGCCTATAATCCCAGCACTTTGGGAGGCTGAGGTGGGTGGATTGCTCAAGTCCAGGAGTTCAAAACCAGCCTGGGCAACATGGCCAAAAACCATCTCTACAAAAAATATGAAGAAATTGCCCAGGTGTGATGGTGCATGCCGGTAGTCTCAGCTATTCAGGAGGCTGAGGCAGGAGGATTGCTTGAGCCCAGGAGGTGGATGATGCAGTGAGTTGAGATCATGCCACTACACACCAGCCTGGGCAAGAGAGCGAGACCCTGTCTGAAAAAAAAAAAAGAAAAAAAAAGTGGTAAGATAGGTAGGACAGAAGGAAACCCTAGGTCACCTCGGACTCTCAAACTAGGGATGACCAGAGATAGGTCATAGAAGTAGAAAAAGGAATGCGGGAGACAGGTGCTGTATTAGAGAACTTCCTTATTTTTTGCAGATCACTTCCTAAATACCAGTTGGGTGTTTTTGTCTTAAGCTCTTTTGAGTCACAAACACAACAGGTGTGGTCACACACCTGTAGTCCCAGCTACTAGGGAGACTGAGGTGGGAGGATTGCTTGAGCCCAGAAATTTGAGGTTGCAGTGGGCTATGATGGCGCCACTGCACTCTAACCTGGATGACAGAGTGAGACTCTGTCTCTTAAAAAAAAAAAAACATTATGCTCTATGAAGATTCAAATTTAACTTTTACTTGATTCAAGGTCATCACTAGGAATATTAAGTGTGTTATTTTATAAATACAATGATGCCTTCAGATGTGGTTTAGGTTTGCAAGCTATTTACTTTTGTGCTATTTGGTTTAACTGAATTGGCATTTTGCAGTATAATTGTGTATCTTTCTTCTTTGCTACCTGTTGTTAACGTTGTTTGCTCTCTCAGCATACCCTTTTGTTTTTTGGGGAGACAAGGTCTTCTTACTCTGTCACCCAGGCTGGAGTGCAGTGGCCACTATCTTGACTTACTTCAACCACCACTTCCCAGGCTCAAGCACTTCTCTTGCCTCAGCCTCCTGAGTAGCTAGGACTATAGGAGCCCACAACTTCACCCAGCTAATTTTTATTTTTTTGTATTTTTTGTAGAGATGGGTTTTCACCATGTTGCCCAGGCTGGCCTTGAACTTCTGATCTCAGGTGATCTGCCCGCCTTGGCCTCCCAAAGTGCTGGGATTATAAGGCATGAGCCACTGTGCTTGGCCAGTATACCCTTCTTTTAAATCAGTGTGCACTTGAAAAATAAACGAACAAGCTTATGCCTAAGCCATTGAACAGTGTTTGCTCTTCCAGTTCCCTCTGCTTGATATGATCTTTTCCTGTATCCTCTTAGCTAATTTGCTTATCTCCTTCACGTCTGCTCAAATGACTCCTTCTTAATGGGGCCTTCCTTAGCCTTCTAAAGATTGCAACACTCCTGCCCCTATACTTCAGATGCCCCTTTCCTTTCATAGTACTTATTAACTTCTAATATGCTTTATAATTTACATATTTAATATGTACATTGATTATAAGTCCCACAAAGATAGAATCTTGTGTGTGTGTGTGTGTGTGTGTGTGTGTGTGTGTGTGTGACTGCTATTTCCAACCAGAATCATTAGAATGGTACTGGGCATATAGTAGCCTCTTAGGACTTTTCAGGCCATGCTATTCATAAGTAACATCCCATGGGTGAAGTGTCACATTGTTCTATATGATGCCCTCTTGAGTAAAAATCCTCTGCCTCTCCCTTCCCAACCCCACCCTGGGGCTTACCTGAGATCCCCAGCAGAAGGAGCAGCGTGAAGGCACAGCCAGCAGGGCCCATGTCTCTGTCCTTAGGGCTATCACTTCTTCCTAGACTCGGCTCTAAGAAAGAGGCCAGTAAGGAGCTGCCAGGACCAGCTTCTCCTCCTATATGGATTCCTCTGCTTCACCCACTCCTCTCCTTTGTTCTCCTGAAGGGACCAGACTTCAAGAGAAGTGCAGCTGCAGGACCCAGGGGAAGAACTGGGATCTGCGATACCCACTGCTGTCCTGGAAGATCAGAGTGTCTGGTGTTTCTGCCTGTGGCGTTGAGGAGTGGCTGGTTGAAGGCCCTGGAAGGAACAGGACTCTGTCTCTAGCAAGGAGAAAGAAGGTGGACAGGATTCTTGAAAAGCGAGAAATGGAAAAGAGGAAATTAATCCAGTATCTGGTTAATTTTTCTGAGTTTTTTGGTTTGTTTTCATTTCTGTTACAGTGTTAGCTACACTGTAAGTCAGGTTTCCTGGGAAATAGACTCTTAAGACAGAGATTTGTGTGAGGAAATTTATTTCAGAGTGGTCTCAGGATCAGCACCTTTTGGGTGGGTAGGAGAATTGTTTAGAGGGAAAGTTGAACGGTGATATATTTGCAACAGAGGCCTCAGCCCATCTCACAAGTTTCTTGAGCTGAGGTGGCCCTCAGAGATTTTCTGTACCTGAGCTAAGAAGGATGGGCTCTTTGAGGTCTGCGTCATTGGATGCAGGTAGCCTCTAGGAGGGGGCATTACCTTGGGTAAGGTGGCTCTGTTGGCAGTTCTTGGGATAGGACTTAGCTGTGAACTGTCAGCAACCAACATTCCTGGTTGCTAGGGGAATGAATTCTTCAGTTCTAAAGGGGGATCTGGGTGGTACACCCCAACATCTGCTACAGAAATCTTTACTGTGCCTTTTGTTTTCCGTGCCACTTGTTTGTAGGGTGCTAGGTCTATGGAGGCAGAATTCAATGAACAATTAAAATATTACTGCTATCTTGCAGCTTAAAATATTGGGAGGCTTGAAAGAAATGTATCAGTAGTTTAAAAGTAATAGAAGTGGCTGGGCATGGTAGCTTACGACTATTATCCCAGCACTTTGAAAGGCTGAGCTGGGAGGATTCCTTGAGTCCAGGAGTTTGAGACTAGCATGGGCAATACAGTGAGACCCTATATCTACAAAAATTTGAAAGTTAGCCAGATGTGGTGACATGTACCTGAAGAAGTCCCCAGCTACTCGGGAGACTGAGGCAGGAGGATCACTCGAGCTCAGTAGTTCAAGGCTACATGAGTTATGATTGTACCACTGTGCTCCGGCTTGGGCAACAGAGGGAGCCTGTCTCAAATCATAATGGAAGACCAGGAAATGTAACTATTTTGGTAAGAACTATTCAGTTACAGGCAACTGAGTCCCACTTAAGCTAGCTGAAATCAAGAGGATATTATTTTTAAAGCTATTGTTGTGAGCTGAATTATGTCTTCTCAAAAATTCATCTTGAAATCCTAACCACACTCCCATATCTCAGAGTATGACAGTATTTGGAGATAAGGTATTTAAAGAGGTAATTGTATTAAAAAGAGGTCATTCAGTTGGGTTCTAATCTGAATGAATGATGTCCGTAGAAGAGGAAATTTCATGTATGTGACATGTACAGAGGAAGAAGACAGCTATTTACAAGCCTAGGATGCCTGAAACAAATCCTTCCCTCATGGCCTCAGAAAGAACCAGCCATACTGATACCTTGAGAAAATAAATTTCTGTTGGTTAAGTCCATCTAGTCTGTGGTACTTTGTTACAGCAGCCCTAACAAACTTATGTAGGTATCTATGGAACAATAAGAACAGGGTAACAGGGACACCGGGAGCTGCCATAAGACAGCCCTGAAGACCAGAGCTAGAAAGGGGTTGATAGCTTAAGAGCTCATAGCAGGATCTTCTCTCTGGGTCTCTGCTATTAATACGGCTCAACCACATTCCATGTCATTTCTTTCTGTCCTACTATGAACTGCCCAAGTTTTTCCCTATTTTCAGTTCAGACTCCCAAGACGTCTTATTTGGTACAGATTATCTTTTCTAACCAGGATATAGATTCATGACCATGGATTAACTGTCCCTGGAGTAAGTACCCTTATAGAGGAAGGTGAGAAGATGGGGATGCAGAAATATGGCCAGCTCAGCAGCCAGGGGTATTGTGGCAGGGCAGATGCCAGGTTTGCTATGTCTCAGTAAAGCAGCATAAAGATATTTACCTCTTTAAATACGTTTTAAAAGATTTTAGAAGTGAACATTTGAAAAAATCTCTCCAATTGCTTTTTTATAAACAAGCAGACACTGCAAGACCATGAATTTTTACCAAATTTATGTTTTTCAGATTCACTTGTTTTCATTTGTGTCTGTTTGATGGGGATGAAACTCTCCTACTTCTATTACATTTGTGATAGTTTCTGAATACATGTTTAATGGTTCTTGTTTTGTATATCCAATTTTTATTTTTTTGTGGTTTATGCATTCACTCTGGTTTTCTGCCACTCACTGATTTTATCATTATATAATGACTCTTAGTACTTTACACCTTAATTTTTTCTGAAATTAATATTCCAACTGGCAGTTTTTTCCAACTCTTTTCATTGAAGAAAAAGATTTCTTATTCGCAGCACAACCATCTATGTCAGTATTCCAATCCATTTATGGTATTCACAGGCATTTGGAGCTCTTGAGTTAACTCACTTAAGTATAGTTTTTTTTAAAAAGTCAGAACTCAGTTTGAGATTTGCCTTCAGATCACATTTAGATAAAGGTAGCTTATTATTCATTTTGCAGAGACCTGAAAGCTTCGGACAGATCTTTCTGTTGACTTACCACAGGAACAAAAACTTGACCAGACAGTCCTTTCCCTCTGAGGATCTTGTGGTTGGCCCAGGTCCTTGGACTTCTTATCACTGGACAAATCTGAAGTACTGGCCTATACCCTTTATATGTTAGTTGGATTGCTAATGGAATCTCTCTTCTCTTTTGTTTAAATGTTTTGTAAAAAATATATTTCAGTTTGGGCGTCTGTTAAGTTTAGTTGGAAATAAACTCTACATCAGTTACTGATGTAACTAAGGCACCACTACTTTGTTTTGAAAATTGGAAGGTAAAAGGAGAGAATTAAATAGTTATCCTACTTTTCTTGTATAAACTGTAGTTCAGAGTATCAAAATAGGTTTAGTTGGTGAGGGAAAATTCCAACTAATAAATGTGGTTGGACCAGTAGCATTAGAAAATCAAGTGGTGATTTTCTCACAGCCCCTCATGAAATAATGGATTCAAGGAATGATTATCAAATCTTTAGATGAAAAGTTGATAGAGAGCTTAGGCCGTTACCATTTGAACCCTCTGATCAATCTTAGCATCACTAAAAGTGGGACATGTGCCTCCTGATGTTACCCCCTAAGAAGTATCCTCGTTAAAAAAAGTGAAACCTGAATCTCTAAAGCTGCTTTCACTAGCAGCAAATATGAAAGATAAAGGAGTAAGTCAAATTACAACTCAAGGAAGTAAATAGTCAAATCCAGAATGTAGGACATTTTACAAAGCATCTGACCCAGTTACTGTTGCAAGTCAGTGTTATGAGGGTAACAAGGGAGAGAGACTGCTCTAGATTATAAGAAACTTAAGAGACATCAGTGTGTTTGGATCCTGATTTTAAAAACCAACTTATTGTTAATCTTGACAGCTGTGATAATGGCTTTTAGTTATATAAGAAATATCTGTTCCTAAAGAGAAGGGTGTGACCCTCTTAACCCTTTCTAAATCTAAGCTAAAATGTTTTATCATTTTGGAGAAAGTTCCTCTGGTTTTCAGCCCACGGTGCTATTCTTTTGTTTTCTTGAGGTATGGCTGTATTACCTTAAGCAAGTCACCCTTTTTTTAAGGCTTGTATTTTCCCATTGTACCAGGAAGGCATTGGAATCAGTTGATGATCTCAAAGATTAAATCATGCATTGCTTATCACCATATTTTATCTATTTATCTTTGCCTTTGCCTACATTATCTGTGTACAATAATTTTCTTCCTTTTCATTCAGTTATCAAGAAATATGCTGGATCTGTCATTTTACTGCTTCACTGGCTCTTATAAGGAAGTGCCAAAGAGTTGGCAGCAAGAGAGTGGGTGCTTAATGCCCACGCCAGGGACTTTCCTGAATACAGCTCTTAGTTTCTGCCTCTCTCATCATGCTGTGTCTTCAGGTCTTAGATTCTCTGTCCCCAGATTATTACCCTATGCTATCATTAAAGTTATCTTTAAATACCTCTGCTGTACATGGTAACTATAATAATAATCTCTGCAAAATAGGAATAATAATATCCCACAAGATTTTCATAAGAATTAAATGAGATATTGTAGAGCTAATACTTAGCTTGGGTTTGGCCTGTTTCACCTGTGATAATTAATGGCAGCTGCTGTTTTTATTATTGTTGTTGAACTCATTTCTCAGCTTTAAGTATTTATTTAATTGTACCCAAACAGTTTATCTTGGTGATGGCTTGGATTGATGTTGATGGTACCTATATACCAGGGTTTCTCAGCCTTGGCACTATTGACATTTTGGGCCAGATGATTCTTTGCTGTGGAGCGGCTAGCCTGTTCATCGTAGGATATTAAGCAGCATTCCTAACCTCTACCTATTAAATGCGAGTAACATGTACTACACCTAGTTGTAACAACCAAAAATATCTCCAGACATTGCCAAATGTCCCCTGAGAGAACCACCATTGTAAAGCAAAGATGCCACTTCAAAATTCAGTTTTCTTTTGAGTACCCTGAAGCTAAAACAAAGAAGACAACAAATTTGCAAGTTTTGTAGCTTTTTATCTAAACTAACAGAAAGGGCAAATGGACACCATTGTCTGTTTTCTAATTCAACCCATCAATCAATCTGTTATATTGGAAAATAAATAAACCTGCTTATAAAACAGTCTCCTAAACAATAATTGAGGTCAGGCATAGTGGCTCACGCCTATAATTCTAGACCTTTGTCGGGGGCGGAGATGAAAGGATTGTTTGAGCTTAGGAGTTCAAGACCAGCCTGGACAACATGGTGAGACCCATCTCTACAGAAAAATTAAAAAATTAACCAGGCAGCGTGATACATGTTTGTAGTCCCAGCTACTCAGGAGGCTAAGGTGGGAGGATCACTTGAACTTGAGAGGTTGAGGCTGTAGTGGGCAGTGATTGGGACAGTGCACTCCAGCCTGCGTAACAGAGTGAGACCCTGTCTCAAAAAAAAAAGAAGAATTGACTTCTCTAGCACATGTATATCAGGCCTTGGCTTTTGCCTTTGTGTTCCCTCTACTAAAAGGTCCAGTCTAGTTTCAATTTTTGAACATGGACAATCAATTTTTAGTGAAGCTTTTGTTTCACAAATCAGAAAGTGGTAGAATTAGTCTGTATACAGTCATGTGCCTCATAATGACATTTCAGACCACATATACTAGGGTGGTCCCATAAGATTATAATGGAGCTGACAAATTCCTATTGCCTAGTGTTATTATAGTTGTAGAATGTTCATGGTGGTGCTGTTATAAACCTGACTGCCAGTTGTATAAAAGCATAACATATACAATTACATACAGTACATATGTGGCAGGCCATTCTATTGCTGTAAAGAAATACCTGAGACTGAGGAATTGATAAGCAAAGAGGTTTAATTGGCTCATGGTTCTGCAGGCTGCACTGGAGGTATAGCGGCATCTGCTTCTGAGAAAGCCTCCGGAAGCTTCCAATCATGGCAGAAGGCA